TCTTTCTAATAATGCCAGTCCTTTATAGAAAGCCTTTCTAGAATTAAGCATAAGGTGATAATCCCTCTTACCCCCTAAAGATTAACTCCAATAATATACTATAATATTTAGCAATGAAAAATATGTATGATGTATTTATGTACATCAAGATGTTTGAGTTGTCCTCTATCACATTTTAATTTCTAAGTAAGTTTCTCCTTTTCTTGAATCCTTTCCATCATAAAGACCATGAGGCTTTTTGTTTTAAACAATAGGAATTCAGATACCAATTACATTAATAATGGAAAAAAACATTGCTCACTTTCAAATCTGCTATTTATAAATCCATAGTAATGTTGAACTTTCGTATATGGAGACTCGAAGTCCAGAGAACTGAAGAAAGTATAGGCTTTAGAATAGGAAGAACAGAATATTATATAAGGAAAGTTCCTGCCTCACAGAAAAGGAAAAACACTTTCTGTTGCTGGCCAGTGGAGAAAAGGATGAGAAAAATTAAGATAAAGGGATCAGATATGAGTGACCTGATTCTTCCCCCCACCTCATAGTTGAAACTAATATTGGTGGTGGTGGCAGGGTCTGGGTGGGTAGACTACCACCATTCAAAGGAAGATTCAAGCAACTCCCAAGCAAGGGGCACATTCTACACTTTTCAGAACATAGCCCAAGAAAGGTACAAGCTGTTTAGAGATGACCCCCATTCGGCATAACCCTGGAGCAGTGTGATGCTGTCATATAGGTATAGGAAGAATCTGAGAGAGCGGCACAATGTCACGTTGTCTGCTTCTAACATGTAAGAGGATCTAGAATTTCTTTGGAGCTCTGACATGAGAGCGGTAGAAAGCAGAGTATGAAAGAGCCAAAACAGTGGGTCAGAGACGTCTGGAGGCATGTGGAGAAGAGGGGATTTGAATCAAGAGGCTGCAGCGTCTCTGTTCACATGAAACCATCTGTGGCCAGCAAATGATTCCTGTTTGTGGCAAAGAGAATAAAAGTCATCATGTAGAGATCATGGGTCTCTGTAAGTCAAATTCTCATTTAATCTTGCTGTTTGGGTTCTTATGGAATGTCCCGTTAGTTAATAAGTTAAATGAAATCTTTGACATGTGTTCATTTTTGATTTGTATGAGAGTCATGGTTTTAGGTGTTTTTTTAAAATTATCATTTTATAGAAGACAATGAATATCACTCTCAAAATACTAAAATAGAAAAAAATCATTACTTTAAAATTCTGTATGTAGTGAAGATATCCTGCAGGATTAGAAATAAAAGAGACACTTTTGGGCAAATTGAACTTCTGAAACTCAATAGAACAAACTGACAGTAAAGGAAATATGAAAAGGACATTTCTTCAGGCAGAAAGAAAAAGATCCATAGGAAAGTAAGGAAATTCAGGCAAGAATAAAAGGCATAAATATTTTGGGAAGTATAAATGCGTATTGACTAACAATAATGTAGTGCAGATTTTAAAACATACATAAAATGAAAATATATGACAATAACGGCACAAAAGATGAAAGAGGAGAAATGAAATAAAAATATTCTCATGTCCTAGCAATGTACAGAAATTGGTAAAAATACTAATTTATTTTAGAATTTAGTAGGTCACAGAACCATGTGGTAATTGTTGGGGTAACTACAAACATAGTAACAAAATGTGTGAAATGGAGTAATACAAATAATCTAAAAGAAGTCATAAATTTAAATCCAAATGTACTGTGTGTGTATGTGTGTGAAAGATTGTCAGACTGGATGCAAAACAAAACTCATCTATATTCAATATTGAATGTGAGATTACAGAAACATTAAAATAATGAAGAAAGATACACCATATAACCACCATCCGAGTGAAGCCATTGTAGGTATAATAATATCAGACAAAGTGACCTTAAGGCCATCATTACTAGAAACTAAGGACCCATGTCATAATGATAAAAAGATCAATCTACTATGAAATGTAGCAATTACAAACTTTAGGCATCTAATATATATCAAATAACCAAATAAAAATCAAAGTATATGGCAAAAGTTAACAGGACTAAAAGGAAAACTGAATTTTTAATGGGAGATTTTTATACACCTGTCTTGGTAAATAATAAAAAAAATAGAAAAAGGAAATCAATAAAGATATAGTTTGAATGACATGATTAATAAGCTTGATCTATTAAACATATATCAAACATTGCATCTACCAACTCAATAATGCACTTCATTTTCAACTACACGCGAAACTTATGTTACATTTGACAGCTACAAAGCATGTCCCATAAAATGTTAAATGATTAAAATTATTCAGAGTGTATTACCTGAAGAAAGAGACATTAAATTAGAAATCAAAACAAATATATCTAGAAAATCCCTCATGTATTTGGAAATTTAGCAATTCTCCTCTAAATTTCTGATAAGATAAGAAGAAATCACAACACAAATTAGAAAATAATTTTAAGCCCTGGCGCAGTGGCCGAGTGGTTAAAGTTCCCCCTCTCTGCTTCACTGGCCCAGGTTTGTGGGTTTGGATCCTGGGTATGGACCTACTCTACTCACCGCCTACCCTGTGGAGGTGTTCCACATACAAAAGAAATAGAAGAAGACGGGCGCAGGTGTTAGCTCAGGGCTAGTCTTCTTCAAGCAAAAAAAGAGGAGGATTGGCAACAGATGTTTGGCTCAGGACGAGCTTCCTCAGCCAAAAGAAAAAAAGGAAAATAATTTTAACTGAATGCTATCAAAATAAAATATAACAAAATTTGTGGATGCTATTAAAGCCATGCTTAGAGAGAAACTTATAGCCTAAGTGCTTTTACTAAAAAAAAAAATAATAATAAAGGCTGAAAGTCAATTTCAGTAATTTAGAAAATGATGGTAAATTAAAACCAAAGAAATAGAAGAAACTATAAATATAAAAGTGAAGAAAATAATAATGAAATAGAAAAGGACGTAAGGTAGAGAAGATGAAAAAAGCCAAAAATTAGTTCTTTGAAAGATCGAATACGTAAAAAGAGAGAAGTCACAAAATACTAATTACAGAAATTGAAAAGGGATCATTACTACAGATCCTACAGAGTTTTAAAAGATAATACAAAATTCTAAACAACTTTATGTGAATAAGCTTGAGATTTTATTTCAAATGGGCAACTTCCCAGAAAAATTAATGTTACAGAAACTCAAACAAGAAGAAACAGCAACTCTGAAGTGTCTTCTATCTATTAAAGAAAATAAATCATAATTAAAAACTTGTACACAAAAAACAACTCAGCCCCAGAAGGGTTCACTAGTTAATTATCCAAATAATTAAGGAAAAGTTCACGCAAATCTTAACCTCTCCCAGAGAACAAAAAAAGAGAAAAACCTTTTTCAACCTCTTTTAAGAGGTTAGCATAAACTTATGATCAAAACATAACTGCATATTTAAAGAAAGAAAAATTATAAGCCAAACTCTTTCACAAACACAGGTGTAAGAATATGAAACAAAATGTTAGAAAACAAAACACGGCAATATATGAAACTAATAATGTAAATGACAAAATTCAATTTAATTCCAGGAAATAACTAAAATTAACATCCTACAATCAATTAATGTTATTTACCACAATATCAAAATAAAGATGAAAAATAATATGATTATCTAAATAAGATGCAATAAAAATTTAGTAAAATTCAGTATCATTAAAAATGTAAAAATTACTAGAAAGTTAAGAACGGAAAGGATCCTCTTTAAGATGATAATGGGGGTCTATTTAAAAAACCTACACTAAACAGCACACTCAATAGTGAATTATTGAAACCTTCCCTGACTCAGATTGAAACAAGACTAACCATTATCATCATGCCTCTTCAATGTTATAGCAGATGTCTAGCTAGTCCAGTGAGGGAAGAAAATGAAAATGGTGGTAGTAGGATTGAAAAGAGGAGAAATCACTGAAATAGAAAACTGAAAAATGTGGAGAAAATCAGCAAACCAAAAGTTAGTATTTTGAATACATTTATAACATTGAAGAACCCCTAGATAAGCTAATTAAGAAAAAAATAAATTACAGATTTTCAATACCAGAAGTGAAAGCAGGATATGACTAGAGATGCCACAGATATTACAAGCATAGTAAGGGAATAATATGAACAATTTATGGAGTAAATTCAGTAACTTAGATGAACAAATTCTTAGAAAAATGCAACTTATCAAAACTGAAAAAAAGGAAGAAAAATTTTAATAGCCCTATATCTGCTAAAGAAATTAATACCTTTGATTAGAAACTCTCACACAAGAAAGACTCAAGTTCCAGATAGCTTTACTAGTGAATTCTATCAATATCAAAGGGAGAAATAATTCAACTCTCACAGAAATTCTTTCAGGAATGAACACTTCCTAACTTGTTTTATGAAGACAGCATTATCCTGATACCCAAAGCTGACAAATTACCCAGAAAGAGCATCAAAAATGAGAGAGAGACATAAAGACACACGGAAGAAAGATTTATAAATTTTACCACATAACCCTCAGGAGTTCCAGATGGGGAGAATAGAAAAATATAGGATGAGAAAATATTTATTATGCTAAAAGCTGAGAATTTTCCTGAAATTTTCTGAACTAAAGATATTAATAAATGTGAATCTTCAAATTACACCAGTATAAATTCTGAGTCAAATTAATAAAAGTAATTTCATCAGTAGACTAAAAAAATTGGAAAACATCAAAATAATTAGAATATAAGGTAATCTCTTAAAATGTGGCTAAAATAAAGCCATTTTGTGGGGAAAAAAAAAGTCTGTAGGTTGCTATCCACAGAACTTACTAATAGAATCCTCATATATTTCAAGAAGGAAACAGAACACAAAATGAAGAAGGAGGCAGAAGGAGCAAATTTGAAGAAAGGAATTAATTAATATGTTAGTCTAAATAAGTATTGCCTATACAAATACGCAATAATAACACTGCTTAATTTATTGGGTGTCAGGTAAGGTAGAATTAAAATAGTAGACAAAAATAAAGAAAGAAGTCGGCAATGATGTGTAATCAGAATGGGAAACTTTATTGTTCCAGATAAGGGTATACTATTGATTACATTTCACTAATTAAGTATGCACGTTAAAATTTAAGAGTAATTACTTATAAAAAGAAGCAAGAGAAAAGCAAGTAAGGAAAGAAGAAAGGAAGATAATGTGTATCTTGTCATGTGCATCTTGTCAACCAGCAGAGATGGGGAAAAGAAAAGAAAATTAACACAAAAGAGGACAAGACAGGAAGGAACAAAGAAAAAACTTGAAAAATCAAAAGCACAAAATAAGGTGACAAAAATAAAATCAAATATATCTGTATATAAAATAAATGTAGGTAGATGAAGATAGGGTATTAACAAAAAATGTCAGATTGATTTTTTTAATTTAGGTTTTTTAAAAAATATAAATTAGGTTTTAAATTAGGTTCTTTTAAAAATATATACTAACATAAGAACACAGACATATTTAAAAATAAAGATGGGAAAATGAGATCTCTATAATAGCGAAAAACTGGCAATGCAGGCTCATTTTTGTCAGATTAAATAAGTACAGATGTATCCAGTTTTACTGCTCATTCTACAGCTCAGGAGCAATTAATCCCGCCTCATTGCCAATAGAATAAATTCCAGACTCTTTAGCTTAACTTTCAAGGTTCTTCACCTCTGGCTACAACCTTCCTTTGGACAATTATGTTCATCTGTGGTCTCGCAGCTCCTATCAAAATGCTGACACGTAGTAGACACTCAAATATTTATTTAGTTCAGATGAAAGGAAATAACATTATCCATGCAACCACTGCAACATTTACATTTACAATGTAATAATTGCATAATGTCCTCTTCCTCTTTTTCATAAGTATTTTTTCTTTAAAAAAGTGAGAAGAGAAATATGCATACATCGTGGATCTAACGTCTGGACAACTAAGCAAAATTTCTTTCCCTCATGCCTCTTCCATCCTCCACCATTCCTGCAGATACTAACAGCAATAGACTTTTTTTCAGAAGATGATTTATGAAGTATCCTCTCCCATTTCTTGTACGACCCTCCTTTCCTCTACTTTCCTCTGTTGTTCTTCCCTCTCCTTTCTTCTCCTCTCCCTTTTCAACCCCTTCTCTCTTCTCAGCCCCTCCCTTCTCTTTGTAAATTGATCTGCATTGTACTGAGCTTAGGAAACTAATGATGATAAGAGGTGCCCAAGAATAGAGAACTTGAGAATGGGAATCTTTCCTCTTTAGATTTGTGACTTGATAATGACAAATGGAAAGCATGTTTTCTGGTGGCCAATGTGAACTGCCTCCCATTGGCCCAGATTAATGATTCTCACCCAACAAGGCATGTAGGATTCACCTGGGGGGCTATTTGATGAATCCATATTGTTTCCTAAACCACCCCACATTCATCTCATGCAGTATGCACTAGGGATGGTTGGGGTGCCACATTGTGGGGGTGAGTGTGTGCGTGTATGTCTGTATAATTTGATAAAGCTCTCTAAACTATTCTGATAGAATTCCCTTTCCACCAACTATGATCCGACAAGAAAACCTCTGATATAAATGGATCAATGTCACACTACAAGATAAACACACCAAAAGCCATCATGTTGGGAGCCTGATTTTGTACATGATGAGTTGTATAATGATTCTCTGAAGGGGACAGGTGGATTTTCTGTAGAGTACTTTTTTTCCCTATTGGGCAAGGATATCCTACCTCACTGGCTCTCAACCTTAGTAAAAATCAGCATCAGGGGGGAGCATTAAAAAAAATTGGATGCTTAAGTCTCATCCCTAGAGATACGAATTGAATTGGTCTCGTCTTGGTCTATGAATGGGCATTTTTTTTCTTCAAGCTTCTCAAGTAATTCTAATATGCAATCAGAACTGATATACATTTCCCAAATTGCTTGCAATTAAATGAGAAAACCAAGTGCGTCGTTTTGGAATTTTGTTTATACATTATAAAAAGTTGAGATCTAAGCTCTCTTAGAATTTTTGCCAAGGAAATTGTAGAAATGAATATAGAGACATTCCATGGACTTGTCACAGGAATAGCAGATTATTAGGGGCAGAAGCGCACAGAGCCATCGCCTACAGACTGTAATAAACAAGACATTTGGTGAGCAGAGAAGAAACAAGAGTGTCCTGAATGAAAAATCCCTGGAAGCCCAAGAAAGGGATGAGAAAGTATTTAGAAATGTAGATCAGGAATACATACAGAAGGAAGTAAAAAGGCAAAGAGAAAAACAAAATAAAATAGTAGGTGCCAGGAAGGAGAAAGGATGCACAACTTAAAATGTTAGTCAATTTTTTATTAATTTTTGTAACTTTCCACTACTCTACTCAATTCCATATCTAGCTTTTTGGCCAATATTAAAACTAGATATCCAGTGCACTCTTTTTAATTAATTTCCATTCCATGAAAAAATTTAAAGATGAATTATTATAGTTAATGCGTATTCTTTATATTTTTTCTGATAGATCATTTTTACATGATAGAAATTTACCTTTAAATGGCATTTCAAAGATAGAATCAAAGACAGAACAATTAAATACAAAAACAAAAGCAAAACCTTTATTCTTTTGGCTTGATTGTAATGTGGTTTACCGTTCTTTGTGGTAATAGCATTTTCCTGCATGCATTTCACCAACACACTACAAGTCAATAGCTTTAGTATAAAGAATCTACATTTATTGTTGCTTGTGAAAGAAACACAAAATGTTTCGCTGTAACTGGTAATATAATTTCACTACCTGGTTTGTGGGGAGAAAAAAAACTTGGATCCTATATCATATCTGATACAGTTCTAAAGCCATATGGGTCAATAAGGATAAGATCTATCTGTGTAAACAGACACTAGAAAAGACTGATGATTTACTGAATATAAAGACTAGGTGGAAACATCTCATTCAAGCAATGCCAAGAATAGCAAGTGATCTTTCCTTAAGCCTCTTTCAGTGATAGGGCATTACTATTTGGAATCAAATAAACGTTGGACTCAGTCTGAGATTCGTTTTACATTGAAATGTGTGCAAAGTTTACAGTACCAATAAAAAAGCAGAAACCTACACTGCATCTTAGTCTTCGTTTCTTATTTCGTGAAGTGCTTTAATTTAAAAGTGCTAGGAACAGAAACTAACAGTAGTGACTGTGACATCAACCTGAAGATACTTTTAATTTCTCATTTTATGTACAAAAGGCTGAAAAATAAAATAAAATGAACTTTTTACAGTATTTATATTTTCTTAGAAAACTCTAACCATATATTTTCAACAGATTTAAGCAGCTTGCAACATGTTTGTACAGTCGGCTTTTCACCATACAGCGTTCAATTAAGATTGGAAGAATAAAAAGCAAGAAGCTCTTCATTGTTTGCTGCGATCTATTGCTTAATGACATGAAGAATGAGGTCTTGATAGAACAATTTGTTTCACTTTACCACTGACATATGGCTTCCCATATTAGACTTCTGAACAGTGGAAGGAGTAAGATACAGCAGCCTAGGCAAGATAAACATGCAGCAGTGACAGCTTCAAACTCTAATGGAACCAATGACATCATATTACCTGTTGAAAGCTTGCAAACTATACTTACTGTGGTACATATTTGATGCAATAAATACTGTGCTTAAGTCATCATTTTTGTTTGCTCAAACATGCACCACTGGGTAGAATTACTATTTACAAAGCAGACTTGTATTTTTTAAATTGACATATACTATGTCAACCTTACCAAGAGCAGAAGATGGCTAAACGATACTGCAGGAAAAAGCAGAAGTAACTTTATAAAGTGGTGGTGGGGAACGCTTTTTGGTCAATTCAGGTTCTTAGAAAGGACTTGATAGGATATTTTTATTTTATGCCAAAGGACACTTATCAAAAATGTTATAATCATGCTACTGGGACACTGAACGACTATGTGATGGTGGGTGTGTCTCTGTGTGTGTATACATATATATGTATATACACGCACATATACATATATACATATATACATGTACGTATAATGGAATATGTAAAAATAAAACAGTTCTTTAACGTTTGTGAATTCTATGGAACATTTACAGGCACATTAAAATTTTTCTGGATGAGACACCTTAAAACATGAATAGCTATTTAAGCACCTCAAAAATCTAAAAACATCCTGAAACAAGAAGTAAACTCTTTCCTTTTGTCATGTGATTTTTTTCACGTGTGAATGAGAAGTGCAGCATGCCTTCATTTAAAATATATCCAGTTATACAATAGGGAAATGTAGAATTCCTACCTTTAATCCCTCTCCCCAAACACAAACCCATTTACAAAAATAGTCACATATAATAGTAAACAACCTGTGAATTAAAAAAAAAAGTGATAAATTCACAGCATACATTTTGTAAAAATATGGCAGGTGTGGCAGTTAACACATAAACAGTGGTGACAATTACCATTATCAAGTGTCACGTGTTGACTTTACATAAAAATTTAACTTCCCTCCCCCCTTTAAGTTGGTTCCTATAGTCTGAGTAGCCATTACGTCTCTGCTCTTCAGCAGTGTCAGCTGGTTGTGAAAACAGAAACCTCCTGGCGATGCTGATTTTCTGGTTTATTGAGTTCCAGTTTGCTGACCAGAGGTCCCTGTCTTGTTATAGGCACTGACCTTAAGTATACATTTGTAAAAACAGTCAGTTTGGCATAGACGTCCTGTGGGAGTCCTGTTGACACTAACACATCACCATCACAGGCTGTAAACAATTGATCACAAAATGGAATATTCTCTGTTTCTTTTTACTTTTTACTTTCCCTGATATCTTTCCCTTTGTCTTCCTTTTCTGATTTGTCTTTTTCAAATTTTTCTTTTTCTGGCTTGGTCACACTATCATAAGAAGGTGGCGAAGTGGTGGAAGGTGTTACATCGGTTTTCTCCGGAGTTGAATTCTCATTTAGTTTATCAATGAGGATATCTTCTTTGATAGGTGTTCCATCACCTTCTTTGACTTTGTCTTTCTTATATATACATGAAACCTTTTTAACTTTTTGCTTCAAGAGGTAGCGTCTATAAGCCCTCTGGATAACAATAGCAGACACCTCCTCTTGTTTGCGTTTCAAAGTGGTTGTGATGGGCTCATAGGAGACTTTGGAGGGATTTGATGCCATGAATCGCTCCTCCATCTGTATTCGAAGGGCATCCATCTCTCCACTCTCACCCAAAACACGCTTTGTAAAGGCAAATAAAATGTCAAGGCAGTGGATCCGGTCCCCACTGACCATGGGCAGGTCCATGGCAATGAGCTGGACTTTGTTTGGTTTTGCTATGAGAAGAGGAGGATCCAGGGCAGCTGCAAAATCAGAGAGCTTGGAGAACTCTATAAACTGAGTGGCATCAGGATCAAACTTCTCCCAAACCTCGTAGAACATCTCAAAGTCATCCTCACTCAGGGGCTCTGCACTTTCCTCAGTAGCAACACTGAAGTTCTCCAGGATGACGGCGATGTACATGTTCACCACAACCAGAAATGATATGATGATGTAACTGACGAAAAAGAAAATCCCAACAGATGGGTTCCCACAGTCTCCCTTAACTGAGCTTCCAGGGTGATCTTTTTCAGGGTCACAATCTGGAGGGCCACTGTTGAGAATAGGTGCTAGCAATCCATCCCAGCCAGCAGAGGTGGTAATTTGGAACAGACAGATCATGCTGTTGCCAAAAGTTTCAAAGTTGAACATGTCATCAATTCCAACTTCCCTTTTAACATAGGCAAAGTTGGACATTCCAAAGATGGCGTAGATGAACATGACCAGGAAGAGCAGGAGGCCGATGTTAAACAATGCAGGGAGGGACATCATCAGAGCAAAGAGCAGCGTGCGGATCCCCTTAGCTCCTTTGATCAGACGGAGGATTCGGCCAATCCTGGCAAGACGGATCACTCGGAACAGGGTCGGGGACACAAAATATTTCTCTATCAGCTCAGCCAGAAACATGCCTATGGAAAACCAAGATACAACAACAAAAATAGTATTACATTTAATAGCAGAAAATAAAAATTTACACTACTAAGATAAACACTAGTTTTATAAAATGTGGACATGAGAATTAGGTTTATATATACATACATACATTTATATACATATATATACATACATAGACACATATACATACACACATACAACCTGCAATATTTGTTCAGCAAAATGAAATGTATGTTTGTTGTTATAACATTAACACCTTTATACTAATTGGTGTTAATGGTCACTTTTGACCATTGAAAGTATCGATGGTCATTTTTCCTAATTCAAGAAAAGCATCTATCAAAAGAACGACTGAATTACTGAAGGCCTAAAGATGTCACAAAGCATATGGTAGCCAAGCATAGAAATGGATTTATATTTCTAAAATATTCGTTCTAGAATTTGGACAAGAACTAATGGATAAAGCATGTGATTTTGGATCATGAACATGAGAGTTCTTATTCTTCAGAGATGGTTGTTATACATTTTATTTGGGAGGTGGCAGAATGGTGTGGAGGAGAGAATCCATGCTTTGGAGACACTCATACTTGGGACTCATTCTGGTCCTTGATTTTATGCATCACTAAATGATGATAATACTTAGGGGTTTTTTGGTATTTTTGTGTGTTTTTTCCTAAGGAAGATTAGCCCTGAGCTAACGTCTGATGCCAATCCTCTCCTTTTTGCTGAGGAAGATTGGCCCTGAGGTAACATCTGTGCCCACCTTCCTCTATTTTATATGCGGGATGCCTGCCACAGCATGGCTTGATAAGTGGTGTGTAGGTCTGCACCCGGGATCGGAACCGGTGAACCCTTGGCCGCTAAAGTGGAGTGCATGAACTTAACCACTACACCAAGGGGTAGGCCCCAATATCTAGATTTTTTGTTTCTGTTAAAATTAATATTTACCGAGTAAATATTACTAGGCATAGTGTTAAGTGCATTTACTTACATAATCTCATTTAATCCTGACAACATTTTACAGAAGTATTCCTTGGAAAACCAGGGATTGGGGAGGTGAGGTAGCTTGCCAAAGGTCAGAGTTGGTAAGTAGTGGATATAGTGAAGCTCCAGACCAGGTCCGTATGACCCCCAAGTCTCATCCTTAATCACTATATTATTGCCACATAGCACTGTCGTGAGGATCAAATGGAATGGCACATTGCTTCAAAATTCTACTTTATCAGAGAAAGTGTATAAATAACGGAATGCTGTGTTTCTCTCTATGTATATGTTCTCTTTCCTGAAATGGGCAGAACCTCATGTTAAATCTCTTACATTTACTTTTAGTGCCTCATTTAATGTTCTGTACGTAAACACTTAATATGCATTGATGATAATGAGTCTGTTTTGAATTTTTGCACAAAATGTCTACTTCTGAAAAAGAATATTACCAACCATAGAAAACTAGCTGAACCCAAAGATAACATGAAGCTTATATGCGTGTGGATATACATAAATACATATACACTCTATTCCAGTTATCTAGGAGATCTTATTTATGGACTATTTGACTACTTCTAATGATTTATATGTGTACATGTGTGAATTGTTTATCAAAACAATACATGTCTATACTTCAGGGGTACGACTGAGTACAGGAGGATTATGCCAAAGTTGAAGTTACTGTCTTCTGAAATGAGACAAGATGATAAATGCAAGCTGAAAGATGTAATTTTTTTTTTTTACACATCATTTCATGCACAGCACGCAATTAGAGAAATGACAAGCTGAACAATGGACGATTAGACTTTTACTTGAAATTTGTGGATGAATGAGAAAGATCAATGGAAAACATTTTCAAAGTTTTAAAACGCAAATTTGCATTAACTTCCTTAATTAAGTAAAAGCACCTCTTCTTACCTACAATGGAGAGAATAACCACCACAAAATCAAAAATATTCCAGCCAATGGTAAAATAGTAATAACGAAGAGAGATTAGTTTCAGCACACATTCTCCAGTGAACAGAACAATAAACACTAGATTAATCCAGTACAAAATGTTTGTCATTTCTTGACTCTGGTCATCAGTTTCCACCATCATGGTGACCATGTTGAGGCAGATGAGGATCATGATGCTGATATCAAAGACTTGTTTGGTTACAAAATCAAAGACCATTCCTTGGAATTTGTTCTGGAACAAAGAATACATAAAACTTCATTTAGAAACTAGAAAAAAAATTCAAGTTCAACTTATCTGATTTCAACAGCAATATGAAAATGCAGCTTTTATAAAAGCACCATGTTTGTTTATACTTGGAAGAAAATTTTGTATATTGGAATATCCAACTCTTTTCAAATGTATTTGCTTTATTTATACTGTTCATAATACCAGATTTTATAAACTGACTCTATGTCAAAAACCACCGATTATGTTCTCAGTGCCCAGAATATCAACATGTGTATGATGGACAGTCGGTAAATAATTGCCACTATAATAAATCTTTGATATCCCACGTGTTGGGTGTGGGTATCAAAATTAACCTTTAAGAGTTAATAAATAAATACTTCTCCAGCTTTTTCTGTCATTTTTTTTCTTGTTTCTGCCTTTATATTCTCTCTCCAAAGCCACAGCATCTTAAATTCTACCTTAAGGTTCAGCTGAGAAGATGTTTTAAAAATTATAGTTTAAGAAAAGGGACATTCGTGGAACAACTGGTGAAATCCAATTAACTTCTGTATTTTATCTAAAGGTATTGTACTAGGTTAATTTCTTAGTTTTGATAACTCATCTATGATTATCTAAGATGTTAAAGTTAGGGAAAGCTGGGTGAAGATTATATGAGCTAACTTTTGTAAGAATAAAATTATCTTTAAAAAGATAATAGTTCATAATTCAGGTATTAAACCTTTGCCCTCTTCAGTTTGGACCTTATTTCCAAGCATTTAGTGGCCTTATGTCTTGCTTATGAAATTAAGTCCTTATCTTATAAACCAGTTCTGCTTTGGACCCCGTTTTGTTCCTTTTTGCCTGTATCTGTTTAGTATTTCAGGCACTCTAGGGCTTGTGCCCTGACTTACTTCTGCTAAGCTGTCCTTCTCTGCCTTCTCAACTAGCACAATTGATGTTCTGTCATCTACATACTTCAGAGTCTGCTTTTCCAGATGGACACGTTTATCGGTTTGGACTCTCTATATTAGTGCTCTGACCTCTCCCTGGTGAGAGACATCCATTACTGCCTACTGAAATTCTTGGACATCAAACACTAACTGTTTGTTACATTTTGCTCTTTTCTCTGAATACATATCTGCTCTGCTAGACTGGACTTCTATTGCTTCAGCTGGATCTGTCCCCCAGAGCCTCCTTCAACCTAATAAATGTGTCTAGTCACAGTTCCAAACCCTCCCTTCTTAGTTTTTATTTACTGCAGTTTACTTTTCCAAGTCTGGTTATGTTCCCCTTATTTCTATCTTTCTGCTATTTCCTACCACTCTTCTACCATATCATTTTATCTTGTTTATTTGTCCCCTCTGTTTAAAACAGACTTCTTCCACTCCTTCGTCTGGTGAATTCTCACTCAGTTTTAAGTTTTAAGCTCTCTGTGCTTTCAGAAAACTTTGTGCTTACATTTGTCATAAAATTGATGACTCTGTATTGCAACTGGGTTGCTCTTATTTAATTTTAATTTTCTCTTCCGTTGTCTGGAGGCTCTGCAAGGACAGAGCAGTGTCATTTTTCTCACAGATATATCACCTAGGGTGTAATAGGTTCAAAACTGCTTGAAAACAGAAAACTGGTGTTTATTTTCCTATCAGCACGATTAATCAAAAGCTCCTTAGATTCCCTGCCTATATAGTTTTCCAGGGGGTCACCTGAATGTACAACTCAAATCCCCAGTCACTGATCACCATCTCCAATTGAAACCCCGGGGTGCAGAATATGCTGGAGGAAGCTATATAACCCTGGAGGCCCTGTCCACCAAAGATTTATGCTCTCTCACCCCGTCTTGGCCCTTGACAACGATTAGCAATCCTTTGTCCCTCACTTGCTCCCAGGATAGTTTCAAACTTCTCAGAAACTTTTCATTCTCTTGCTCTCTATTCTTATTTCTTTTTTGAAAACATTACAGTCAATTGGTGTAAAGAAACTCCTCTGATTCCTTTTGCATATCATATTATCTTGATTTCCACACCTATCTTTTTATATAATACTCCAAATTCCTTAGAGGGCTCAGTCCCTTTTCCTCTATAAATCTAACCTAGACCACACTGTTCCTGAGCCACATTCTGAGCGACTTTATTCTATATTTGTTTTCTCTCTTCAATCTCTTCCCCTCCAGAACTCCTGAATTGCTTCAAACCTAATCTCGCAATCTTAAGAAAATTATTTTACTGTTTCTTCTAAATATTCATTCTCTCTCAGACTGCCCTCCCTTTGATCGATTGTCAAATTCTGCAAACTAGCATCTCCAATTTTCTTTCCATTCATGTCCCTACTTCACAACCTGCATGACACCACTGTTCGTCCAGTGGTGTAAGGCAAAAAGTCATAAGTCCTCTTTGTCACCTCCTTCTTCACTTCTCATATTCAATTAGTAGACAAACCTTTTAATTTCACTCCTGTGATAGCTCACAAATCCATCTGCTTGTGTTCGTCTGCACACCACTCTGATTCAGGCTACCTATCGTCTCTGAAATAGCTCCAAACAAGTCTACGATGCATACACACCACCTCCATCAATACTGGCTGAGTGATCTTCACAAAACCTAAACTGATCAGGTCCCCTTCAATGGTTTCCCATTGATCTAAGGATAAAGACAACTCTTGAACATGGCCTTCAAAGCCTGGAAAAGTCTGGCCCATCCTGACCTCTTCATTCTGAATATGTACCAAATGAATCCCCATTCCCTACACTCCAGGCTCGGTGGCCTTCCTACCTCAGGGTCTACACATATGCATTCCCCTTCTCATAAAGAGTGTTCTTATTCCCACTTTGCCTGTTGATACTTTCTCTCCTTCTTCCATCCTCAGCTCACGCACCACTTCAGTAAAGCCTTCCCTAACTTCCCTGATTAATGAGGCCCCTCCCCATTATCAGCTCTCACGGGCAAATGTATTCTTTCCTTCTTGGATGTTTCCCTTTGTTAGTGTGACTTTCTGCTTACTATTTGCTGTGCCAACTACTCTATGTTGTTTAATATTTAATTCCAAATGCTTAGCATAGTAAATTGTTAATGAATGACTGAATGGATGGATTTCACCAGATCATTTCCTAATTTGCCAAGTTGTTCCTAATAATATTCTAGCTAAGTGCACTGATCTTTTCTCATACATTCCTACTGCTTTCCAGGTAAATCTTTATGTCACCTGATGTAATTAGACAGCCTCTTTTCTTTTGAAATTTTCTCACACACACACACACATACTGCCTTATTGATTAATTTCATTCCCTCATTAACTTACCTTTTCCTACAATGGTGAAGCACCCAAGGCTTCATACTCAGCACATTTTTTTGGGTCTAATTATCTTTCAAAAATGAATCAACGCTTTAGAGCTCAACTGAATTTTGTCTAACAACTCTAAAACCCTTATCTCAGTCTGACATCCCTTAGGACTTAAACCAGTATTTCCAAACGCCTTTACAAGACTTTCATTTATGTTAGTGGAACCGATAATTTCACAAAACATCAACTGTTTTAGATTCTCTATTATTTATATGTCCTCCCTCTTTTCCTATATTTTATAGCTGCCTCATCCCGTTGAATCTTCTTATTGGCTCATTTATCTCCTGTTTTCCGGTCCTATTGGCATGATCCCATATTATGGACTCATCTTCTTGTGCATAAGGGTTCATCTTCTTGTCTAAGGCTCAGCATTATCTTGTCTCTAATATCTTCTCATACCAATCTCTAAAATCTCCTTTTCTTCACATTACTATACTGTTCTCTTAGCTACATTATACTTGCATTGTTTAATTAAGATTAATTTCTGCAGATTCATAGTGGTAACTTTAACTCATTTAACCCAGAAAACCTTGTGTTTACTACTCACTAACTCAAATATGTGCCAAATATTTCTGTGGCCTTGGAGTATACAATTTCTTTTATAGGGAATGTACTCTGCGTTTCTTTCCATCGATTCACATTGTATTATTTCTCAAAGACTAGGCTCAACTTAACATTCATTATGTTTTATCCAATGTAGCTATCTACTTTCTTTGAGCTTTGGCTGAGTTACAAACTGAACATGAGCACGGCCAGTTTTATATTGTTACTAATGATTTCACAAAGTCTTGATTCCTGGGGAACACTGGATTGCCTTGCACCATGTATACCTTGGGGGAGGAGTTCTGAGACTTAATATCTGAGCTGTTCCTCCAGGAGTGCTGGAAGAATTCAGAGACTCTCCTGACAACAATTCCCTTCAGCAACCAACAGAACCAGAAGCCACTGGCAAATATACAACTGGAACAACCATAGAAAGTCATAAAAAGAATGATGTCATCTGATCTACGGGCAAGATGCTAGGAGGAAATATGAGGTTTTATTAAAACCAAAAACCCCCAAAGAACTATGACCTGGTTCATTATTGATCCCATTCTATCTGCAGAGTTGGACAGAAAATGGGACTTATTTGAGATGTACCAATTATTCTGATCGTCCCCACTGCACTCTGAGAACATTCAGTATTTCCACATATGTATGTATGGATATGTTTTCTTCTCTACATTAGAAGCTCCTCAGTGACTTCAATCTTATGTAATACTATAGGCATATAAGTGTGAAAATTTTCATTTATATATATTTTATATCTTTATATATAAAATATAGTACATAGTTGATATATATATATATAAAATATGTATACTTAGGCTATCTAAGATAGCTAGTCACATTGCTAAGGTAAAAACTTTGTTTTGCAAATTCACAAAAATACTAGTATCTAGCAATTTGGGCTATGAAAGTGATAGATAACATAGGTTTTATTGGTGATGAAAGTATGTTATTCTTACAGCAGGTCGAGGTATGGGTTTTTGTGGTTTCTTTGAACCCAGTTTTTTCATTGCATTGTAGTATTTCTTCTGTTCTTCTGTCATAAAAATGTCTTGACCTCCAAAGTAAAGAAATAAAAGCAAAACTCGTTAAAATCATGTTCTTTGCTAGCTATAAAACTCACCTTAGTAATTGTGCGAAAATTGGCTCCCACGTTTTATTCTAATGTTGCTAATGTCTGTATTTATGGAGATGCATATACTCAATACATAAATTATGCCATATTAATCACGTTTCTACACTAAAAATAAAAACACATGCTATCTGAATTATCAAATACCTAAAAACATATAAACAATTAAGTCTCTCAAAATAATCTCTGAATTATATATTTTTTCTTTTTGGTGATTGCATTTTGGAGCCAAAATAAAACAGTGTGACATTTTTAGTTCACATTTTAGAGTAAAGATGAAGTTTTAGTATACTTATCTTCTTTTTCTGTTGATTGAAGTTATCGATGATGACACCAATGAAGAGATTCAGAGTAAAGAAGGAACCAAAAATAATAAAGATGACAAAATAAAGATACATGTACAGATTGTCTTCATACTTGGGTTGTAATTCTACCTACAAAATACGAAGAATGATAACTATTAGAACAAATACTTGTTTTATAAAAATGGCAGTGAATGCTCACTTCTCAAATCACGTCTTAATTGCTGGGAAGGAAAAAAGTAAACATTAAACAGATTTTATGACACATAAATCTAACATATTTATTAAGAGTCCTGCAAGATTATTCACTGACTTTAGAAAATGAAACTACTCATAAAAAAGTCTGAATAATTAAAATTAATTTCACCTAATAAATACCCAGATTATAAACACACTTTCCTTTATAAATGAAGACTCAAACAGGGCATTCAAAGTGAGGATTTCCTCTTTCCCCAGAAAAGATGCTAGAGTCACACCATTCTATGCTACAATGTTTAAGATTTACTCCTCTAAGTCAGTTCCTCATCCATAAAATGGAAATAATAGAACCTAAACCTCATTGTAGTTGGGAAGGTTATATGTATCAAGGTATGAAAAGTGCTTGAAAACAGTGCTCGGCCAATTATAAGAGCTAAGTATAAAGGTTTGACTCCTATTGCACATCTCTTTTGGTAGGTTACAAGCATTATTGTATCTGTGGATATAGGTACATGGCTAGGATCTTTCCTTTCTGAAAATGAGTCTATTGATTCATTCTACTCAGGCCTTTGGCACTGTTTCTGCAACAATGATACACTCTCTTGTCCAGCACACTTTCGGTTAAAAAAAAAAGTGTGCTAATTGGTTTGAGCTTTGGCTGTAACCTACAGTTCAGGTTTCACAGGATATTGTTCTAATCAACTCAGTTAACCTGTCATAAGTAGCAATGGATGCACGTAATGACCCCGAATGTCGTGAAGTCAATTTAGAGGGTCAGGGCTAACATGACTTTTTTTTTCTAACAAAATAGAGTAAAATAGAAAACATTGGAAATATTGTAAAAGTACCTATTCTTTGATGAGACTTTTATTTCATTTCTGTGTGTGTGTGTTGGACAGTGATATAAAATGATATTTTTAAATGTTTTTAAATTAAATATAATACATACAGAAAAGTGTACAACACCTAAGTGTAAAATATACCAAATTGTTATAAAGTGACTCTCACAACCCAGGACATTGTCAGGACCTCAAAAACCCTTGCTGTATTCTTCCAAACATAAATTTTACCATTTCTGTTGCAGGCAATCATCCTGACTTTTCTAAGAATTTTGTCCTTACTTTTTCTTTAGAGTTAACAACTAAGTGTGCATTCTTAAACAATAAGGTAACTTGTGTCTACATTTGGACTAGTAGACAGATTTATTACAATTCTGTTATATTTTTAAGACTCACCCATATTACTGGGTAGACTGTATTCATATATCATTTTCATCACTGCTTCATATTCAATTATTTGTCCATTTTTGCTACTTTTGAGTTGTTTCTAGTTTTTTGCTAGTGCAAAAAAAGTTACATTCATTCTTATACAAAGATTTGCCTATACCTGTGCACAAGTTTCAGCAGGCTATATAAAAATGAAATCTCAGGGGGAAAAGAATATTTTTTACTTTATTGAATAATGTGATAATGCCCAACTTTTTTAAAGGAATATTTATCCATTTTTTCCCCACCAGCATAGTAGAAGAGTTCTTATTGCTGTTTATCCTTGGAAGCACTTAATGTTGTCAGACTCTTAATATTACCAGTGAGGTAGGTTTATAGGTGATAACTTATTTTTGTTTAAATTTGCATTTCTCTGTTGATTAATGAGAGTAACAGTCAGCAAATTTTCATAATTTTAGTGGCCAATTGACTCTATCTTTTGTAAAGTGCTTGAATGTCAAGGAGTTATGTATCAGACAGTGTATGCTAAATTATTAAGGAAGAAACTGAAAGTAACTTTCCTGTCATTTAAGTTATTGATAGGGAAGGTGGAAGGAATTTTAAACAAATTAATCAAATTGGTAGGAAACTGCTGTAGAAAGTAGTCATGAGCCCATTGTTTGTGGCCAGGGTTCAAAAACATGTTCTACCACTTAACACATTAAGCCCCCCTTTCCTCCAATGGTAAAATGCAGTTAATATCAACTATGTGATAAGGTTATTATTTAGGATTAAATGAGATAATGTAAGAAATCCCTTAGCAGAGTGAGTGGTAATAAATCATAAAATCTTTATTATTATTCAAAAAGCTCATAAGTGGGATTCCTGATAGGGCTTGCAGAGTTACAATGCAGGGTGTTTAGCTCTTGTGCTCTCTCTCTCTCTTCTTTTAATAAATTGCAAAAAAAAACCCCAACTCAGGAATTCTTTCTGAGTTAACACCTGGTTATTAGTGTTAGGGCAATAACATTTGAGCTCAATTACTATGCTCTGGCAATATACCAGAAGCCAATCTTTATTTTTCAAAATGTGACTTCCTCCCTCATTGTGAAGTAATGAGAAATTAATGGAAACTGTACAAAAAAATTCCAAAGTACTGATGTGTATAAGGTAGATTGTTAAAGCTCCTTTCCTCTACCACACACTCTCACTTCCCAGAGAGAAACACTATTAAGGTTTTGTTTTGTTTTGTTTCCTGTTTGGTTTTTCCTCCATTAGTCAGATCCTTCCTATTACAAGGAAGATAAGAAGCTGGAAGAAATCTGTGACACATGAAAAAAGTGCCTGTGAGGACTTCTAATGCACAAATGGCCAGAATTATCAGAGCCAAAAATAAAATGTCTCATTTTGAAAACACTCAACAAATTTCTACATGCCAGGTGCCACACTAGATACTAGAATAGAGATGTTAAAAGATTCACAGTGAGTAGAGAAAAACATTCAAATCAAATTTTGGAAGAAATAATATATGGTTGAATATTTTATTTTTGTAATACCGATGTGCTCTATAAATTGGCCAATAGCTTTATTTTATTGACGTTATCACTAAATTATAACAGTGTGGAAATATTCACTGGATCAAATTAAACAATTTTCCCTCTAAATAGACTTACATTTCGTGAATCGACAGCTGCATACATGATGTCCATCCATCCCTTAAATGTGGCCTGTAAAAAAGTCACATTATTTAATTTCTTTTTCTCCCACAAATTATAATTTTAGAAAAGAAATTAAGTATCAGATTAATTGACCAAGATCCATTCCAAAATCAGGTATGTGAAATAGTTTGGGGTTGAGGCCAGCCCAGTCACATAGTGGTTAAGTTTGCGCTCTCTGCTTCGGTGGCCTGGGGTTTGCAGGTTCAGATCCCAGGCACAGACCTACACACTGCTCAACAAGCCATGCTGTGGCAGCATCCCACATACAAAAGAGAGGAAGATGGGCATAGATGTTAGGTCAGGGACAATCTTCCTCACCAAAAAATGATAAATAAAATAAAAAAATAGTTTAGGGTTAATATTTAAACTCTTTGGGCAAAGTTTTATGATACATGAATTGAAAATACTTCAACTTTATATTCCTTATAACATTTTTTATGTATCTTTAACATCTATAATTAAATCATGATAAATGATAACAGTATGCTATCATCAAAGCAATTAACAACCTTGACTCTGTCATGCCTATAAGAATATACCATGAAATTTGATGAAACAATTTCATGTATACAGTACTAGCACCAGACAAGGTGAAAACTATGCTGCATTGTTTGATCTTAATGCCTTCTTTTGTACTTATTCTTTTCTAAATGATATCACCAATCACCAATCATGATGGTTGTTCTTGAAAATCTCCTCAATATTGTTGAACAAACTGTTTTGAGGCAGTTATTCTATGAGAAGAAGCAGTTTCTTAATTGGAAAACAAAAATTATATTCAACTGCAATTTATTCTATTAAATATTTATTTTTTGTTATGTGGACATAGCAATCCTGAAAACAAAATTCTTGCACGTTTTTCAGGTCCTTAGTGCCTCAGGCTCTGTCCTTCCCCCTAATATTCATCCACTGTTGGGTATTGAGTAGGAGGGTTATCTCAGGGAGCATGTGGATATGACTGAGTGGGCAGTTGAGGAGCCGAATGGATTTTTATGAATTTATAGCAGACGTAATAGTTTGGGTTGGAGGTTTTTCATTTGCAAGGGAGCAAGCTCCCTATCTGAAAGTGTTCACCCAGCAGGCAGAAAGATGAGAATTGGGGTTGGAGTCTGAGCTAGGGGTATAAAGGTGGGGAGTTCGGGTTATGGTGATGGTGAAGGTTGGTAAGTGGAGACATGATGAGGGATTAAATATTGTCTGGTTGCTGAGAAGGAGTATAGAAATCTACCATGTGCCCCCCTGCCCTCCGAAACACACACATCTTTCCAACCCGACCCTGGGGTCAGTGCCTCTACTTTGCTTAGAGTAGGAATGAAGGAACACAGTGGAAACCTACATAGAAGTCTTAGAAACAATGGACTGTTGCTGGAATACCTAATACATGATCCGGGAGACTATAAACTTTGTAGAACTGTCTAGTGTCTAACGCGGTGCTGAAAGATAGTTCAGCAATGACTGAGGAAGAATCTAGGCAGATGGGCCAGAGGAAGCATGTATTTGCAAATAGTGAGAAAGAAGAACTTGAGACTCATTTCAATAATACATCACAGAGAATAATAAAGTGGGCACTTACTACTTGAAGCAGAGAAAGATATCCGAGTCCCACATTATCAAAGTTTACTTTCACATTTTTCCACCTGGCAGTCTGATTGCTCTCTATGAGGGCTTTGCACTCGCTGTAGTTGTTGACCACGCTTACGTCAAACATTTCTCCGGTGGTGTAGTTAATACAGTGATAAAACTTGCCCGCAAAGAGATTCACTCCCATGATACTGAATATCAGCCAAAAGATCAGACAAACCAGAAGCACGTTCATTATGGATGGAATGGCTCCTAAGAGAGCGTTGACAACAACCTGGCACAGAAACGCAAAGGAAAAAGAAGTGAAAAGTCAGCAACAAATATTTATTTATTTTTACCTATTTTTAAACACTATAAAAACAACAGTCAAATGATAGAAAATATATATCTATTCTTAAATTAAATATTGGGCACAAACCAATCTCTGGTAGCTCCAACTAAGAATTTTACAATTATACTTAAGAAGGATGTATAAAAATAAATTTTATATTAAGGAATATTTTCTCAAGAGGTAAGGATATACATGCAGCAAATTTTCATTAATGAATGGAACTAATTGTAAATGCAAAGATTGGCTAAGAATACAAATAGTGACATGACTATAGAAGTCATGTTACCATGTGCACATTACAATTTTTTTAAATCATGCAAACAACACAATCTGCTATTTAAAATTTGAGAATAAAAGAGAACACTTGGGGATCTGTTTCCAAGATGAAAGGGAATACTGATGATAATTATTCTGAGAAAGCAAATGTCAACCAGGACGGTCCTAAGCAATGTAGTATAGGGTCAATGTACGTACAAAAGATCCTCAGCAAAGAGACTGGAGCTTGGAGACTGCACATGTGATGAAGAGAAAAGGGTTTGCAAGTCTGGAGATCTGTATTCAGTCCCTATCACAAATGAGCTGTGCGCCTTTGGGCAAGTTATTTAACTTTTCTGGCCCTAAAAGTCCTCCTTTGTGGAATCCCTTTCAGAAGAAAATTCTCAAATTATAAATTGAGAGATTACAATAATCAAAACATAGGCTTGGCTATGAGTGGCTTTGTTTTCAGAAAATAGGGCGATCTGAGTCCCAGGGTTTTGCTTGATGGCTTGGTTACTCGAAGTTTTCTCAATTAACCAGGGCTTCTAGGGGACTTTTTCAGGACATTTCTTAATTATCCCTGAAGTTGATATTTAGCTAAATTTCTTGCTCTGTACAAACACACCTAAACCACATCAGAAAGAAACTTTATCGATGAGTAGACATTGAAAATATGAGAAATACGTTAGCTTTCTTCAAACCCCTTATGGGATAAAAAGCATATACACATGCATCCATACGTACATATAAATATATGAGCAATGATATCTTACAGCAACAATACCAAATGGGTACTTGGCAAAAGGCACAATTCAGCTGTAAATTGATACCTGCAGCCTATTCAGTGAAGGATAACATTTTAACGTATTTTTAAAGGAAAGTAAGTTTTAACGAACTTATAACAGTGTTAAGTTACTACTAGAATTTCAAGTCTCTTTGATAATTCAGAGGTGCTTTTAGATTTGACACTGCACTTTTGAGTTCACCACAAGGAATGCTCCACAATGCAAATGTGAGCCGGCCCTGGTTAATAGAGTTCTGATTGGAAAAAAAAAAAAAAAAAAAGCCGAATTTCAAAGAAACAATACATGTGTTTTCCAAGAGTGTCAGATCTATTGAAGGACTAGGAATTTAGGTTCTTACATAGGCAAATTCCATATAGAAAATATGAAAATTATTCTAGTACTGAAAGTTTGAATCTCTCTTTTTTTAAATTAAACCTACTACTGCAAAAACAGTGATTTTAAATTGGGAAAGTGAAAAGAATTTAACAGCTAACAATTCCTTTTTGGCAACCATTTGCACACGCACCTACACACACCGTTCATTTCTGGTTGTGTTTGCAACATTTAGAGAAAGTCCTAAGTAACTATTTTCAAATGTCACAAGAAGTATCATTTTCCAAAAGTTCCTTTTGAATAGCTACATCCATTGAGACAGGATCATCATTTCCTCGGTGCTGAGGGTATGTGGTCTCAGGTTTTGTGCCCCAGGGGGTGACAAATGGCAGTACACATTCCTCCCTGTTCCTTTGTACCACCTTTCTAAATGAACGTTAGATTTCCAGTTGACCTACTTTTTAGCTATCTCAGCCTGTGTTTGAAAGCTAAAAGGCCAGATTCAGACTTTAAAAGGCTCAAAACACATCATATGGAGCAGCGAAGAAATGATGAAGAACAATTTGGTGGTTTTTAATTACAGTGACTGGGATTTCCTGCACATTTATAAGTGGAATGAACATCGCTAATCTTAACTCACGTCAGAAGCCTACACAACATGACAGAGATTTCCCACTGAGTGAAAAATCTAGTTAGAAGCAATCCAATTGCTTCTAATTAGAAGCAATCACTCAGGCATCATATTCTGTGAGGTCTCCAACAGTTTCAAGTGTATGGATGTCTGACAAATATTATTGATTGATTGGTTACGTCAGTATGAACGTTGAAGACACAGATTCTCCATGGATTTGTCATTTCTAAGGTACACAATGTCAATCTGTTCTCAATTATGATTCTAACAAACTCTAAAGCATTTGGTCTTACCCTCATTCCTTCAAACCGGGATAAGGCTCTCAGTGGCCTCAGAGCTCTTAGTGTTCTGAGGGATTTGATGGCACCGAGTTCTGAGTAACCCAAGGCATTCGCTGTTAAGCTAACCAATGAGACCTATACAGAAAAAGCAACACGATTTTCTTATTTACAGACAAAAACGCTTACACAGTTCAACCTTGCTCGAGGCAAGAAACCAGCAGTTTTCAAACTTTAGTGAGTATCAAAATCACCCTGAGGGCTTGTTGAAAGCACAGATTGCTGGCAGAGTTCAGTAGGTTTGGTGTAGGGTCTGAGAATTTGCATTTCTTCAAGTTCCCAGGTGCCCTAATGATACCGGTCTGTGAGTCACCTTGAGAACCACTGTTATAAATTCATGAAAAAGAAGAAAATATACATGTTCTCTTTTCAAGATTCTTGACAGAAAAAGAATGACACAGATATGTAATCTTTATCTACAGATCTGTAAAACTTGATCACTTCTCATATTATTTAGCAGACCTGAAAGGGAAATTAAAACTTCGTACAAGTATACAGCTACGCAAACCACAGGTGAACCAGAACAAAAATACACTCAGAAAGATCCAGGCCTCTCCACGGTGGCTTTGTCTTTCTGTAAATTTCAGTGTGAGGGTATAAAATTAATAATTAGGTCAAATTAAAATAACTAACTAAAAAGAAGTTGAGATTTTAGTATAACTAATTAGAAATTGCTGGAACAATGTTTTCTTTAGTCATTTATATAGATGACTAATGTAGATGATAAAAGTTCTAAAATCTCAGCTAGAAAGGAAAAAACAACAGTCATAGGTGGCACAGAAATGTCTGCTCTCCTCTGAAAATACATAGAAAACTTATTAAAATTATGTAAGCAAAGAAAAGACATTTTCTCCTGTAGTATACCTGAATTTCAAAAGCAGATGAATGAAAACAGATGTGTAATATAGCTTTTAAGAGTATGGTGTTAATGGATATTTGAAAAATATATTTTTTAAGAAAAATAAGTGAAGTGCATAGAAAATTTTCACAACAAAACTTGACTTAATTGAACTAATTTTGCACATATAATCTGAAAGAGTGAAACCTGTAAATTTGGAAAAATTGGAACTATAAAAATTTATCTTAAGTGGTTTATATATTTTTCCTAAAATCTAAACTTTTAGGCTTTATAAGTCCCATCTTCACAGACAATTGGATAATAAAGTTACTGAATTATCATTTATTGTGAAGATTTTCTGTATATAAATATGAGGACCTGCAGTACTTTTCTTCTCTGCAGACAGAACCAAAAACAGAAAGGCATAAATTAAAGGATGAAAGAAAAAAGTTAGACATGAGAAAAAATTCTGAACAGGGCAACATTGATTGGCTAATTAAAAGAAGTGGTAAAATATTCAATTTTATATGACTTGTGTAGCTAAATGTGAAAAGGAGATGCATTTAGGCCTTCTCTTTCTGGAGTAACCTCCTAATTAGCCTTTTGGCCTCTAAATAATCCCCTTTCTATTCTCTCATTCACACCTCCACCAAATTTCTCTGCCTAAAAGAGTGAACTTTTCTCGTCACTCTCCATAGATAATTCCTCAATGGCTTCTTCTTTATTAACTCGAGTCTAAATCTCTTTGGATGGCCTCCCAGCTTCTTCAAACTCTTCTCCAACTTGTCTTTCTTACCTTATCATCCAATTACAAAACGTCTTCCCTCACCTTGTGGCACTGTGCTTACCCTGTAGGACTACTTGTTTCTAGAACAGGCCCTGCTTTGCTTTCATCAGTGTCTTAATGCTTTGGTGTCCCTCCCCTCCTCTCTATCTGCTAACACTCTCACCCCTCAAACTCTAGCTCACACTGCACCGCTTTCACGAAGCCCTTCCTCCTCCCTCAGTGAAGTCAGTGGCTCTCAGTACAGATGTCCTCATCTCAGTGCATATATATCTGTCCTCACTATTCAACTGTAAGCTCCCACAGGCCCAGAAAAATGTTCATATTTGTATCTCCCATAACAAAATGGATGGTAAACAAATATATTTGATAGAAAGCAAAGCATTGATTAGTTTACTATATTATCATAGCAGTTTTCTTAAATCTAAGAAGGTAAACACCAGGATATGCTGGTACAGATAGCCACCGACTTTCAAAAGCTCACGTTATGCCACTTTGCATTTATGAAAGACATACATTAGTATCTGTTTTCACTAAATGAAAGAAATCTGAAGAGGATTTTCACTTCTACAAAAAAAAGCAAAAATAGCGTTCAGTGTTTGTTTTGCAGAGAGCCATTATGCAGGCTGTGTATTTATCATATCATTCCTGCTCTTACTATATCTTAGCGTAATTTTAGCTTTTATGTGTTATTTGGTATGATTTGGTAGGCTATTTTGGGGGATCTGAGAATGCTCAAAAATTCTCCCATTTATGGGGCTGGCCTGGTGGTGTAGTGGTTAAGTTTGCATGCTCTGCTTTGCTGGCCAAGGATTTTTGGCTTTGGATCCCAGGCACAGACCTACACACCGCTCATCAGGCCATGCTGTGACGGTGTCCCACATACAAAAAAAATAGAGGAAGACTGGCACAGATGTTAGCTCAGGGCCAGTATTCCTCGCACACACACAAAATTTTCCCATATAAATTAATGATAATTGCTTCTTCCTTTAATGCCATTTCAGCTTAACAAAAGATTTCATGGAACCCTCTACTTTCAGATAGTGGGGAAAGCCTGTAATATGCGCATCAGCTGCCAGACAACTAGATTTCTCATAAGAATTTCTTTGTATTCAGGTAGTATTGGCTTAATACCTTTATTATTACATAGCTATATTAAATATCAGATATTTTTATTATAAAATTACCAATGTATCATAACCACATACAGAAAATAAAGAGAAAAAGTATCATACACAATCTCATCATACAAATAAAAGAATGGTTATTCTTGGTATGTTTTTCCATTGTTTGTAATATCCAAAGACATTATTCTTAAGTATTACTTATTGTATCATATTTTTGCTGTAAAACTTTTGATGTAATTCTGGGTGTAGCTTTATATGTTATATTTAACAGTAGATTTGCTTTGGGCAGATTAGAAAAAAACTAAAATTTCTTATATTCTCTTAAATTCAAACAACTCTCTTTGTCTTATAAACTTTTTCTTCTGTTTGGTGATTAGAAAGCTCACACTGGATTAAAAGTTGATATGTCTTTTCACCTCAAACTGTGAAAAATAATCTTCTCCATGAAGGGGTCCACCTTTTTTCTTTTGCTAGCATAAAATGTAAATTTTATATATCAAAAAGTCTTTAATTGCCAAGAAACTATTACAATCAACAGAATATTATCTTTAAAATGCACTATTTAACGCATTGTACTTTCCTGCCACTTCCAGTATCTTCCCCATCTCTATTGACTGTAAGCACCATCCTGTCCTCTCTCCCCACACCCCCAGCCTCTGTCCCCACTGGCTCACCTAGTCTTTTCTAAACAAAAGGCTTTTAAGTTCCTTTCTTTCCATTCTGAATGAACTACTAACTTAAAAGGGATTTAACAAGTAAATCTTGGGGCCAGCCTGGTGGCATAGTGGTTAAGTTCAGTGCACCCCACTTCAGGAGCTTGGGTTTGCAGATTTGGATTCTGAGCATAGGCGTGCACCACTCATCAAGCTATGCTGTGGCAGCAACCCTCCTATAAAATAGAGGAAGAATGGCACAAATGTTAGCTCAGGGCCAATTCCTCAAACAAAAAGAGGAGGATTTGCAACAGAGTTTAGGTCAGGGCCAATCTTCCTCATAAAGAAAAAAAAAGATGTAAATCTCCAAAACTAAAGAAAAATGATTTTTAAATTTTTTGTTCAGTTAAGATCTTATATTCGTGAATAAAAGGTGAGATCTTGCTCAAAATTCTCCCTCAGAAATCAGGGAGTAACCTCATATTCAGCTTTTTAAAGCCTCTTATATCCTGGTACTCCTATTACTTTATTTTCAACACCAATGCAGTTTAATAAAACCTTTAAATAACTGGATAAGTGGTCCATAGCCAATCTGTTTCTACCATCATACAAATCAAGAGGTGTCTCTTCTATTTGGACTTTCAAATTTCTTTGTAATTAGTAATCCATCTGTGAGACAACACTTCCCAAGGGCCTCTGGTGATGACAGAGATACTAACATCAAAGCTGCCTGCGAAGAATTTAAATACAGTTATTACGTGAAACGTGAGAGTGAAAAAGCAAAGCTTCATCATTAGTATATTCTTTTGTTTAACTTGGTATTTTAAATATTAATTTGAAATTAAATCAATACATATAATAAGGTGGCATTTGACTGTTTCATCTATGAAAGTATATGCATTTAAATAGGCAAAATAATGTTTTGCTAAACCATTCTGATCTCAATAAAATTACTTGGAAAAAAAAATGTTTTGGGGCATCTTCCCTTTGGGAAAATGGGAATCATCGTTTGTATTTGGGCCCATGCAGTATTTACTGAGAGCCCACAATGTACCAGGCACCATTGCTAGGACTAGCCTGTACCATCACATGCCGACGGAATGAAACAAGAAAGTGCAGAATACTCACATCGACAATCAGGAAATCTAGCCAGCACCAGGCATTGGTAAAATATACTTGAAAACCATATGCAACCCACTTGAGAAGCATTTCCAGAATGAATATGTAAGTGAAAACTTTGTCAGCATATTCTAACATGGTCTTAATGGTTTTTCGCTGCTCAATATATATATCTTCAAAGGCCTGTAAATGAAAAAATTCCATTGAATTTCATTGTTATGAACTGTCTCCAATTGATGTCTTAGAAAAAATAAGCTGCCAGCCTCTTCTCAGGTGCCTAAGGCTAGAAAGCTTCCTGTTTCCCACAGTGGCATTTTGCTCTATAGTTATCTGTACACAAATGACTATTGACTGGGCATTTCAGTCAACCAATGAATTCAAATAATTTTTAAGTTTTGGTGTCAGGGTGTCCCAGAAGAGCTTAAGATTTTCCAGACACTGACAGCTGCTTCTCTTCAGTGCAGGAGGCAGAAAATCACCTGCAAACGGATCCGCTTTGTTCAGTGCAGAGTAACTGGAATGTACCTTCCCAGCAATGCAAATGTAAGGCCAGGAGCCCCTCAGTCTGGGGAAAGGGGAACAGATTCTCATCTTTCACTTCTCCCTTTACCTCTCTTGCTCAATTTGGGCATGTGTGTGGGTGTATGTTGGGAAGTCCCCTCTGCCATCATTTAGCAGAGCTCTTTGGAAAGGGTGGGGGGACTCATTTGCAGGAGCCCCTTGGCCTTCTGCAACGAAAAGGCCATTTGTCTAACGCAATTCTCTTATAGGAAAAACTATCAGGATAACTGGTGGTCTGGATCAAGGACAAAGGACATTTCTCTCTTTCAGAGATAAGGGGGATCTAGGTTTGTGACCAGAGCTCAACACAAGGGACTAAAGTCTTGTCAGCTTAATTTATAGCTGAAGCCGGAAGCCCCTGAGAGGCCAGCCATTGTGCCAGCATCCTGGTGACTTTGGGGAGCTCTGACCGGGTGTAGTTGAGAACCAAGAGCTACTCCAGCAAGGACACTAGTCTCTGAAGAGACTTCACACTCCTCTCTCTACTCAGCATTAAAACGCAAGGCTGACGCTCTTTGCTCTGAGTACACGACAGGATGCAGGATTCTTAGCCAAATCAGAGGCGGGCTGAGAGGCCTCCGGATACAATTCCAATAATCCTCCTCTGAAATCAACTCACCAAACACTCTAGTGACTAATCGAAAAAATAAAAGAAAAGCAACCACATTTGGATAACCAAATCAGAAAAGGATCACACTCTTCATTACATCAATATTTTAACCAAATTGACCATTCCATTGAATAAAATCAGACATAAATTAAGTTTATAATGTTTTTACTCTGCTATTAGTCAGTAATTAAGTTAGTCTACTATTTGCCATTCATGCGGTTGGTCCTCGTGAAGCAGCATGAATGAGACAGGTGAGTTCCCTGCAGTGATGGAGCTTAGTTAAGCAGTTTGATATATTAGATGATAAGCCTCTATTGTGTCTACATAGTCAGTCTTAATAAGAACTGTCTCTGATGACTAAAAGTCAGAAAGATCCTTCTTTAAATATTACAAAACACCATACTGATCGGAGTTTGATTCAATCTGAGGCCTATTCCAGAACAATAAAAGTTGCTATTTATTGAGCCTCTCTCACTGAGCTAAAAATATCACACAATGTCTCTCATCCTCACAAACACCTTATTGTAAAATCACGTAATAGGAGGTTCACTAAGGGGAAAGGTAAAGGGTTTCAGGTAAGGTAAAGGAGCAGATCACGTCACCTACCAGCGCCCCACTGCTGAGCAGAATCATGAAGACGATGAAGGTTTCGAACCAGTTATGCTCCACTATCTTATAGCAAGTTTTTCTCACGTTCCACCACAGTTTCCCTTTGCCTTCCTCTATGCTTATCTGACAACACTTGAACTTCCGTACACAGTCTAAAATAGGTCAAAGTAAATGAGGAAAAAAAGTTACTCTTTGATTATGTACATTTGTGTTGGTGGGAGGTCCATCTACATTATTACTTGATCCATTGTATAACTATTTTTTAAGATGGTTTCCACTTATAGAACTAGAAATCATCTATATGGCTTTTTAATCATTCATTCAACAAATATTGTTTTCATGTTTTGGGGACTGTTATAATGGATTATATCACATTATAAAAACATATCATAGAAAAATAAAATCATCAAAAGTTGATATTCACCCTATCTTTATACTGTGAGTGTGATTCCACGCATACACGAACATTACATATATTTGAATTCTAATTAGTTCACTTAATGGTATACGATAAACATTTCCCTTTTTATAACAAGTAAATAGGATTTTGAAAACTTTCACAATACTTCTCTACATAATATTACCAGACTCAACTAGAATTTATATAACTATTCCACTATTATTGAATATTTATGTTGCTTTAATTCTGGCTATTATCAGCAACAATATAATAAATACCTTTGTGTAATTTGTGGATTAACTAGATCAAAGGCCCATCAACAAATATTTATTGAATATCTGCTGTATTCAAGGAATTGTATTGGACAAATTATAGAACAAGAAGGTGTAAAATATGGCCTTGCTCTAAAAACAGTGTGCATTTTAGGTAGGGGAGATTTGTCCACAGATTCTATAGTTATAAAAAGCAACAATTATCACAAAATAAGGTATTGTGAGAGTTCACTGGCAGAGATTAATTTCTGATATTGAGCTTTACAGAGGAAATGGATTGGAAGCTGGAGTTTGAAGGATGGGTAAGAATCAAGTCTAGTACACAGAGTTAGCTGTAAAGGAGGAGAAACAATGATAAGTAAAATTTGACGACACAAAAGTCTGGAGAGAATCATGTCATGGAGAGAATTAGGACTCAAGACTAGAAAAGATGCTTAAAATCAATCTGAAAAAAGAACCTGAATGAGTCAGTTAGAGAAGCTGGATTTTATGTGCTAATGGGCACAAGATTAAAGGATTTATTTGGGAGTTATAAAGAAGATGTACCTGATAAGAACACTGACGTAGAATTATCTATTCCTATACAAAGCATTGGATGGATAGAAAAAAGAAGAGGAAAAGGAGTTAAGAGTCTATGAGATTCACTCAACGGGACATTAAACAAAGTGAAAACAAGGGTAACAGTGGTGACGGTGGTCAGGAATCAAAAGATACTGCTGAGTTGACAGGACCTGGCGGCATGTAGAATATAGGGGCACTGGAGTGTGGGAGAGAAAGGAGTCACGAGACAGAGTTTTAACCGTGATAGAGGGCCCTTGTGCAATGAATAGAAAAATGGAAACTTCATCTTGAAGAAGCATAATATTTTACTCCATAGATATTTATCAGATGCTACTTTATAATGTCAACCAGCCAGATCATATCCTTTGTTTCATGAAAATTTAATGAAGTGTTATTAAATGTTATTAGTTTCCTTCTTTAAGAAATAAATACCATATTAGTTTTTTCTTTCTGGGCAAGACCTTTTTCACATTTCTGTTTCTCAAAGGATCAAGAAGAATTACATGCCCTGAAGATACTTATTGTAATGGATTAAATGGGATTGTATTTAGTTTTTTTTTTTCCCCTAAAGAGGATATGAGATGAAAAAACACTGTTCAATAGAAAAAGATCAATGCTAGGGGGAATGCTCAATGCCAAATTTGAGATACTAGTTTACCTTTGAGAGGGAAGGAAGGGAATGGGATAAAGAAGAGATACAAAAGGGGCCTCATGTGTATCTGTTTTATTCTTAAATAAAAAGTCTGAAGCAAAAAATGATAAAAATATTCAAGTTGTTAAAGTTGGTTGGTGGGTATCTGTGTTATTATTATTTTCTATAATGTTATGTTGGTAATATTTCATCCCTTAATTTTTTTAACTTTACAGAGTACAAATGTTGATAGCATCATAATTATTATTATGCACATATTGTGACCCTAAAAATAAGCTAATTGTCTGGGAAAGAGTAATAATTAATACCACAGAAATTACTTTTGTGATATACCACCTGAATGGTTTGTGAAATCATAAATTTTTTCATAATCAAATAACTGCACTGATAGGTATGCAGATTTTTTGAAGGAAATAGTAAAAAAGTAGCTTCCTTCAAAACTCACGCTGAACAAATAGCATAATTTGAAATTATTTAAAAATTGACAATTCATATTTAAATATTTCTTTTCACCAATGCATTTAAGTACAAAATCAATAGGTGTATGCACATAATCTTCTGTAATAACCTTGAAAGAACCTATTGACATCAACGGTGATTTCTAACATCTATATAATTACATGTTTTTAAAATTAGCTTAAGCCAGCTCTCATGGTCTAGTGGTTAAGATTTGCACTGCAGCCTGGGTTTGTTTCTCAGACAGGGAACCACATCACCTGTCTGCCTGTCTGTCTTACTGTGGCGACTGTGTGTTGCTGTGATGCTGAAAGCTATGCCACCAGTATTTCAAACACCAGCATTGTCGCCCATGGTGGACAGTTTTCAGCGGAGTTTCCAGACTAAGACAGACTAGGAAGAAGGACTTGGACATCCACTCCCAAAAAAACAGGGCACGAAACCCCTGTGGATAGCAGTGGAGCATTGTCTGATATAACACTGGAAGGAGAGAGGATGGCACCAAAAAAAAAGACAGGGCAGGGTTCCACTGCTGTACGCAGGGTCGCCGGAGGCAGAACCAACTCAACAGCGCTAACAACAAAAATTAGCTTAAAGCTTAAATTAAAACAGCTTTAATTTCCTTAATGTAAAGATACATCACCAAAATGAAACATTTTTAGAACTAGTTGTAATAAAATAGCATTACTAGTAACAATCTGAGACAGTCATTTTTATTAAAATAAACTTTTATTTAAGCAATTACTATATGGTATTGAATTTGGGGCTAAGAGTAAGAATTATTAAATAGCTGTTAACTAAAAACTGAGCTAAAAATGAAGTGATTCCTAGGGTTTTAGAGAAATGTTTCTGTATCTACAGCAGTGGTTTATATAACAAATGTAAAGAATTGCATACCCTGTGGTATTGCACTAATTTTTATGTCTCGTTGTAGCGTTAGTAGTGCACCCCCATGCTGAATCTGGGTTGACCAGGTGAACAGGACAGGAGCAAACCTGATGAGGCTTGACAAGCGCTTCGCATTTAGGCTTCCTCTCTGCTCCTCTGCCTTCACCATGACAACAAGCCCAGGCCAGTGCGTAGAGGACGAGACAAGAGTGGAGTGGAGCTGAGTCAGCCCAATTGTCTCATGCGAGACCTCATTCAGATTAGAGAGCCCAGCCAAGATCAGCAAAACCAGCTAGCCCACCATGGTCTTGTGAACAAAAATACATGTTTTTTGTTTTATGCTAAGAAATTTGGGGCGGTTTGATACACAACATTATTGTTCAACAGATAATTGATCTATACTTCAAACAACATAATTTTAGCTTTCTTCAGAAAATCCTCTTGATATTACACTAATGCGTGGTGCCCTGTATTATACAACTCATAGTATATTTTGGGGTTTCCTTATCTATTATCATTCAGAATAAATAAAAAATATTTGACCTTGACAAATACAAGTAACTCTTACTCATGGACAGTTTTAAATGTACATTTATCAGTTAGTACGCTTTATTATTTGACAAAACAGTGAACAATAAATTAATTCTTTGACTTAAAAAATTTTTTCTTTTATTTTTAAAGCTAAGGAGAGATAAGTACCATTTGCTTTTCTCTTTTATTAGATATTCTAGAAGCCCACCAAAAACTCAGATAGTTAGCATTTCTCAGAGGAACAGGATCCACAAAAATAAGAATATCTGATTAGACAAATTAAATCTTACCTTTTTAAAAATCATCTTTGCTTTGATATAGAAAAAGTAAAGAACAAACAAAAAAATGAGCCGTTGTTAGCTATAGATGAAGAGAGAGGGGAGAGAGAGAATAGGCGGATGGACGAGAGAAGTCTAACGAGCTCATAGGCATTGTGTCGCTTACCTTCTGTGAAACAGGCTTCAGGTTCGAGCGATTCTTCAGGTTCAGCCTCAGGTTGTTCTCCCTCAGCAGGAGCTCCTATATCCACTGTGCTGCCTTCAGATGAACTAGTTGCATTTAGCTTCTGAAAATCAATTCCACAGAAAAGCTTTTAAAATATTTTCTTTAATCTATAACATAAAAATTCAAAAGGCGTGCCCTCAAGTCTTCTGTATGCATTTCCTTGATCTGTAATTTAAGAATATCTTAAACATAATGCCAGTCCGCTTTAGTAGACGTGGGGGGTCACAAGATTAGATACAGCACCACAGTATTTTTTTTTCTTTAATAAAAATACCGTGCTAACAACTTAGTTTTTGAGTAAGCCCATGTATAGAGATTCTGAAATAAAATCCTGCAGAGAGCTTATGTAAGCTGCCAGAGTCATGATCGTCTGTGATCTTGCTTTTGCAAAGTAGTTTGCAAATGGTATCTTTTGTTTTATTCTAAAATTGTGACCCAACCAACAAAAGCTGCACAAGTGTATTTTCATGTCAAATGTAGAAAAGATTTGATCAAACGCAAATAAATAGCAACAATCTAAATTTATCCACTTTTCATTGACATGAAAACATTTACCACTGTTTGTTATTAAATATATTCTAGTTTTCTAATTCTGAAAAGAGCAGCACATTGTTAGCTTTATAGCAAGAGCCAATAGTTTGCATTCTCTTTGGCCAATGCACTCCTGTATTTCATTGTGCATTTGGAAACTACTTGTTACTCTGGCACTCCTACCTCATCCTGTTAACACAGGCAGAAATGAATCTTTGTTGTTTTGTTTTCTTTTAGGTTAAATCGAATACAACTAAAAGAAAAATATACTAGAAAGAAGTTGTTTTAAACCTTGATACCAACAAACTTTAGCCAGGTCCGGTCATTTATGGGATCAGTGTAAATGAAGGAATCCCAGGCTTTAACCTGGTCTTGAAATGCTGCAGGAATGACACAGGGCTAGGTATGAGTGCCACGTGGAACCAGAGTAGTTTGGGCCACAGCATTCTCGAACCTGTTACAATGTTATTACCAGTAGTGCATAACATTAGGAAATGGCGGAGCTGATAAGAGCTACTTTATAAAGGGGATGAGGTAAGCACATGATAAAATGAACACTGAAGTATGTTGAACTATTGTAAAATGGATGTTGCAGTCAGTACTGGAGACATTCTACTCATATTTAGGCTAAGGATTATATGGATTTCCCTGGGAAAATGGTTCCTTTACTGTATGAAAATAATTTGTTTTTATAAAATATTTAATTGGCATAGTTATGCTGATGAAGTAAAATATTTGTATATGATATATATGAGATTGATAATGCTTTTGTCTTGTGTAATTTAACAAACATCATAAATGTCTGCCTTCTAAGAACTAGTTTCAGTATTATTTTTTAATTTGACCAAATTACTTAAATCAAGGATTCTATATTATAAGATGACTGAAGGTTGTTGATTTCTTTTTCTACTCATCAAGTACATCACAATATTAGAAAGATTCAAATATAATATTTTTGTCATTAAACATCGAATATATTTTGTTTTAAGATGAAATATCAAAGTGAGAAGATTTATTACAAATATTCTAATTTTTCAGACTTTTTCTAATTTCTTATCCTTTGTCTTTCACTTAGATTCTTTCTTTGATAAGTGTAGCTGTGTTAGATACATGTAATTGACTAAGAAATGACTAAATTATCCTTTTTTTCCAATCCATCTGATTCACAAGAAGTTGTTACATATTAGGGACCCGAAAATACTGATCTTATCATTTATTTAACATGACATAGGTAATCAGAAAAATTGAAGCTTAGTCATATCTGACCTAACTAAAAATAGTCCACAATAAGAATTGGAAAATATTCCTTTTAGGAGAAAGGATCACACTGCAAATACAGATTGGGGGAAGACCTTGGGGTGGGCCTAAGGAAAAAAGGAGGATCTATATTCAGGATGCTCCATGAGGTCAGGCTGGCATTGGTGAATGACTGCATCAGAGCCTACATCAGTTCTGGGTATCCTGCACGTACTCAAAAAGTATTGTTTAAAAAAATGAATGAACTTCTTCATAAGAGAATGAAGCTTAGCCATTGACAGTGATTAGAAGTCACCAGACAAGGTACTCCAGAGAATCTTGGTTCAAAATGTTCAAAAGTTTCCAGAAAATCCCTGTGACGTCAACCACCACTCCTTTCATTTAGTGTAGTGCCTTAGTATTGACATAGAATTAATAGATGTATTTTTATTGGAGTCAAATATTTATGTATTTAAAGGTCATATTATTACTTTTTCAAAAGCACAAAATAAAAGTTTTCTGTGTTTCTAGAAAATATATCTCACCAGACTTAATCTTTTGAGGCAAAGATCATGCTCTTGCCATATTTGTATCTCTAGTACCCATCACTGATGGTTGTGTTTAACAGATGTTTGTTGAGTAAATGAGTGACTTGCATGGACTCTTTTGTTCCACCACTAACTATTTCTAACACTTCCTATTTAATACTTACTTTCACATTCAAGGAAATACAAAAAATATTCTCACTTAAGTGTAGAGTAAGGCAAGTCCTTCAAGACTCTGAATTGTGTAAGTAATGACCAACAATTCTTAGAATTAGGAGTCCTGTCTTAACACTAGGTTCCCAATTATTCAGACCTAAGAGAAGTCTATGAAGTAAACCGTAGTTCAACTCTGGAGTCAGACAAACTAATACTGAATCATTCTGACAATGTTGTCCCTCTTTCCACTCTGTGTACATGGATCTATAGCCCCAGTGGTGAATGGAGTCTCTTTAAGGAGAAGCAATCTCATCCTTCTCCATCTTTCCCCTGATGTGGAACAGCACAGAATCTACCTGTCACATATATTACTTGAATAGCTTTACTTGGGTTATAAGTAAAGAATCTAAGCTGCACACTAATTTTCAACATCAACCAACTCAGTGTCTATTTAGAGAAGGAAATGTGGCTTTAATCGTTTTGTCGAAAGTCGTAGTGAGTCAGTAGCTGGATTCTAGGTCTTCTGTACACCACTTTGCCAGGATACCCTAGAGAATTTCTTTGATGATTTATAAGTAAACTCAACCTTTATCAATTTAAAACATTTAGTAGACGTAATACATAAGTAAACATTATAGTTTGAAAAGAGTGCTTGTGATATTGTTGATTCTCATGTTTCATGACCATGAACTTAGTATTAGTTCAAGTTATATTCATATTCTTATGTGTATTAATGTAGAGTAGAGCTAAATACACGTTGGAACAAAGAATTTACTTTAAACAATAATCCTGAGACGTAGGCAAGAAATTCTGACTTACAAAACTTTCCTAGATAACATCAATCGAGTGACTTTCTTAAAGTCACATAAGAGGCAAATATCATAATATTATAAAATATGTTGGCTAAAACAATTAAAATGCATAAAGAGCTTAGAAAAACCAAATGAATCAAGTTAAGAATATAAAAATTTAGCTTCAGATAAGGTCATAATTATGATCAAACATAACTACAGTGCAAATTCACCAATTAGAAGTGTCAAACATACATCATTATATGGAACTATTTGTACTCATACACTTAAAGAAGAATTTTCATATAAAAGTTGCTTGTCAATGCTCCAATCTAGGCATCATCCACTACAAAATGCCACATGAATAAGAAACCAAAATATTAACTGGGTAGAAATAGAACCAGTTCTATACTTCCAAGTTCTACACTTGACAAGTTCCATACTTCCCTTTGGTAAAATTTTGGTGCTTAGTTTCCCTTTTTATAATCTGTGCTTATTTATCAGGAAACAACTGGACTGAATGATATGTTAGACTAGCCCTTACCTAGTTAAACTTTAATAAACTATGAATGAACGATATCAGCATAACAAAGAGATCAAGCAGGAATGGTGAATTTTTGTTTGCTGTGAATAGCACTGGCAATCATTGACCACTTTCAGGTAGAAATATTTGTTGAACATTGTTTTTAGTGAAAACCTCATATTACAGGGCTCTTACTGTTAAAAATCTGCTGGATTCTTCTAAGTGCTGGATAATTAGTCATAGGAGTTTAGCAGGGCAGAATCATATTTTGCTTAATGATCTAATAAATAAATATCGAGACAATATCTCACTGTGTTTTTAAACACTATACTGTTTTTGCTTTCCACTTCATTGATAAATTAGTATTAAACATCAACATACTAAACTAATAGTCCTTCTTTAGAAAGTAAAAATATATTTAATTATATATAATTAACCACAACAGAAAAAAGGAGAGAAACCATTGCTTCCTATTAAGTTTTTCATAGGCACACTGGTTTCTCACTATGAAGTTAAGATACATTTTTAAGAAAACGTAACTAGTAAAGATTGTACATAATTTGAAAAAAGAAACGCATATTCTAATCTGAGTCAATGAAAGAAATTAGGAGTTTTTAGAAAGAGATAATTCAAATATAGATTAAATCAAGTATTCTATATTTAATTAAAATTTTGGTCTCCAAAAATGACAATCCTTTGTTCCACATGGATCCTAATTCTAATCTGTACTGAAGGAGCTCTGGGTCATTTTACACGAGAAATCTTAATACTGGAACAATGAAAGTGATGGTCGTCAGGTTTGCTTTGGGATAGGCTTAAGGCCAAAGTGACAGGTTAATACTAGAAAAGATTTGGTGTTAGCTTCCTAATAATGAAGATGGCAAAATCAAAAGTATCATTATCATTGTACTACATTATTTAGAAAATCACTTTTGTCTTTATAATGGATACATCATAAAATTCTCTAATTCATAAATAGCAGGATCTTAAATATCTTTCTTGAGATGGTAAAAGTAACCCTTATGTCATGCTGACCTATCCCTCAGCAGATTACCAGTGTCCCAAAGACACGTATGTTTGGCCCATTTTGTTCTAACTTTAAGGATGTTTAGAGCATTTTTTTCTCTTAATCATTAACCCACTGGAGAACTTTCCCATGAGGACTACATCTTCTCCAGGATAAAATCACAGATGGGTTCCTGTTGAACCCATCCCACCACTGCTTACACAAACCCTCCCTACACATCTTTCTCCGCCTTCCCACCTCTTGTATTGGAATTCAGTGTACTCTTTTAGGGAACAGACAATGTTTCCTGATCAGAGACACATTCAAAGAAACAGGAAACTGTAATAATGTGAGGGTTGAGAAGAAATGAAGTCAATTTAAATCAGGTCCTACTTAGTTTGTATTCCATCACACTTACTCCAGCTGAATCTCCTAAATATACTGGTAGATAATATACCTGATTGTCACTTTCCCTCTTATACCTCTCTACACAGGAACTTGGAAAACGGAATAGTCAAGGAATAAGGAAACCGACCTTGCCTCTTTCTAAGAAACTGGGAAAAACAAGCCATTATCCAAAAAGTCACATCTCATGCTTTCCTGAAGAATTAATACATAATAGGAAAAAATAAATAATTCTCCCTAGTTCCCATGTGTATGTGTGTCTGGGTTTAATTGTGAGCAATTATACATCTTAGGTCTCATTTTATATGACATCATTCCTCTAATACATAAGGCATTATTTTTCATAAATCTAGAATGCCAGTGACTAACTCTTTTATTCCCAAGTATAAAAACATGCTCCAGGAATGGCATGATCATTGTTTCTTCCAAAGAGCCAAATATGCTTACATCCGGGTTGTTTTATAGTTTTAATGGTAGAAGGAGAAGAAATTGAATCTAAGTGACACAGTATTTAATTCACATTTCTTTAAAAAGTAATTAAATTGGATTGAGCAAATTGGTTGACATATTTTAGCACAAAACTGTGCTTTCAACATCAGGAAATGAAACGTCCAACAAACGGAGCCCATAGGACAGGGTTACGCTCATTGCCATAGTCACATGACAAGGGAGGTCACTTCACTGTAAAAACACCAAAGTAGCAAGAGCTCACAATGATTCTCCTACATAGAAGTTTGCAGTGCATCATATATTCAAATAACATTCTTCAGGAGAAAGTTTCCCAGTGTGTCTTATGAAATAGAGGGGAGACAAAAACACAAAGGACAGAAGAACAACAGGATGAAGAAGGTAGATTCCAGATCTATTTTCAGAATGAACATACCACCTGTAAGACTGTCTTTCATATTTTTTGGTGTACAAAAGACATTTATTTCCTTTTCTTTCAGTCTTAGGAGCTTAGGAGATAAATATCAGCAGAATCTCCAAGAGAATAATATTCGAAATGCAAAATACCTTTGGTCAATTGCTAAATAAATTGATGCCATTTTCTCTAAAATGAAGCACATAAAAATTGTACCCATGCTGCTAGCAGCCTAAACATAAACATACCAATTCATTTACATTATTGTCACATTAAAACATCCTTTAGGAAGTTAGCACATGAATAGAGGATTGCTTTAATTTGCAGATTACCCTTCAGGAAAATTTAACATGATGCAACAAAAAATTACCAACAGAGTATACCTATTGGGGCTGTATATTTTTTTTTGAAAAAAGGCAGGGGAGAGAAAGCTTTTCTGCAAGAGTTTTTCAAAGAACTCCTACATTTCTTCTTTAGACCCTCAGCATGTTCGAAACTCTGTAACGCTAAATGGAAATTAAATAATCCATAAAGGCATGCATTTTCGCTTTTCACCGGATTTAATTTCTATTAAAATCTATGTAAGAAAATTAGCAGCTAAATCACTTGTTAAAAAAGTTAGGGTTGCCAGACTTGCCTGACCATGCTTTATGACTCAGCATAAGAGCAGCTGTGCATGTTTTTATTTTACTGCCAATGGATGGACAAGGAATGTAGCTGAGTAGCATGCAGGCCAGTCAAAATTCATTTAGAAAGTAATTGTACATGTACAACTTGCTTGGGTAACCTGGGTAAAAGTGGTGGCCCGAGCCTGTGGCTGGTTAAAAAACACCAGAGCAGCTTCTTGATGGCTCCAGCTTGATTTTACCCCTGTGAGAAGTAAGAATGGTAAGCAGTGAAGGTCACTATTTTGTACTAGTAAATTTCACTTCGAAAGATAATCACTCAGGCTTGGCTTCAACATTGTTAAAACTATACAAGAAAATTCAATCATTCAAAATCGCAAAATATAAAAGGAATTACATTAAATATAGTCAAAATAACATAAGAATTAAGGTATATCTGATTATGACATGAATTTAAAATGATATACTCTGGAGAACTACAGAAAGCTATCAAAGAATCACACAAATTTGGTAAAGACAAAATAGAAGAGGATTTGTTCAACACCTAAACAACCTCTGGGTCCAGTTGATTGCTTGCCCTCTGAAAAGGAATTCATTTAGGCATTCCAAAAATTAAAAAGTGCTCCATTTTTCTTTAATTTTTTTAATCATTTAGAAAAGAATATATAAGAATAAGCCTCATCCATTTCTTTCTAGTCTACATATGATATTTAACTGCACAATCTCATCCCACCACTTAAAAAAAAATGACCAGACAAAAATAACTTGAAGACAGAACACTAAAAATACATTTCAGTTGGGAATACTTGGAATTCCTGGATAATTATTTCAATTCTCTTTTGCTTTCTACTGCAGAGCTACCAGGTTAAATACCCAAAGATTAAAACCTGCACATATTCCTTTCTTAGACTACTGCCCTGGTCCTTTATTAGTTTATGAGTTTACATTTAGGAAGTTTAATATAAGGCCATAATTGAAAATTTCTCCAAATAATAAATTTTAACAACCAGGTAACAATGTCTATTTTGGGAAGGTATTGAAAGGCCTCTATAGCTAAACCTGTAAATAATTAAACACCAAGGGCTTAACGTCCTTCTTCTCTTTACTCCCAGCTCTGCATTTATTAATCTATAAACAAACCAAAAACATACTCACTCTGGTACTCATACTCTTCTGGTAAATCAAAGAATACTTTGAACTACCCATATTCTTACTCTAGTTGGTAAATTCAGAATTTTATATTCCATAACGTATCGAGGCTTTTCGTTTGTTTAGACAGCATGCACTGGGCTCAGTAGAGTTAAAACATTTTCAGCATGATTCCTCATCACTACCTACACTTCCTTAAAAAAATTATTTACTTCAGGAAACATGAAACTACATGTAAATATCAAGCCAAGATCTCAATCAGATTTTCCATGAATAAATATGACTGTGCAAACTAAATAAGATCACATTTTATGAAGTATTTCATAAGAGCCAAGAACGGAACAAAATCAGAATAGGAACTACCCTCTCACCAAGTATTTTTCTAGTACGTACAAAAAACCACCTTTATGGGAAAATTATAAGGAAGAAAGTGGATAAACAGAGGCATTTTCACAAATCTAAAATTATTTTTAAATACTTAGAAGTATTCATTTTAATCTGTATATTAATATGATCAAGAATTCACAATGGTGAATACTTGAAAAAATGAATCAGAATATCATTTGTCTAGCTATATTTTAATCTATCATCAATTTTGCCATAGAACTGTATCAACAGTTATTTCCTGTAGAAAGAAAACATAATTTTAAAACAGTATGACAGTTTAAAGCATACATAATACCAAAATGTCTTCATATGTAAAAATTCCTACCTCTTTGCTTTCCTCCATATCTGACTCGCTGCTGAATTCTTCAGTGTTTAAATTTTCAAAGTCAGATTCTCCAACAGCAATTGGGACAGTCACAGTGAGGCTGGGGTTGTTTATAAACGACATGTAATCACTTTCATCCACGACATATTTTTCTACACTGCTGCCTATGCCACTGGTAGTTCCATTTCCATCTTTAAGATAATTGAGGTCTTTGCCTATTTCTATGGTGGTGTGGTTGGAAATACAGCTGTCTTTTTTGTTATTTAGATCTTCAAGAGGTTTAATTTCATCTAAAGCTTTCTGCTTTCTAACAAAAGCTTTCTGAATAAATTCACGTAGTTTTCTTTTAACATAATCAATTCCTTTCTGCATCCTTCCCACAGCAATCTGGAGATTGTTCATTTCATTATCATCATCAGTGGCAGCAAGATTGTCAGAACTGAATGAACTCAAGAGCAAGGCCAGGAAAAGGTTCAGAACCTAAAACACAATAGGAAAATAGGTGATCAAAACATTCTGTTGTTCCAATTGCTCTTGATTATAAACTTTCCAAAATTGTTCTTGTATCTCGCTTTTTGCTAATAGGTATTTCTTCTAGTTCATGATAAACTATCCTGAAAAAAAACTGGATGAAAAAAACACCTGGCCAATATCAAATACTACTATTAACAGTATTTCCTTTTTAGTCATTGCAAAATTACTAAAACCATTGTTGCATGCTATTTCTATATTAAATTCAAATCCAAAAGAGAAATCTTAGTTATCTAGATAATTGTACGATAAAAAAGAAAAAAAACATTTTATTTGGGATGCTAAGTATTTTGCCCATGTAACCCAGATTTTTCAGTACACTGATAGTTTTCTATAATTTTGTTCTTAAAACCAAAGATGATTCCAATATATTTAAATATTATTTGATTTTTATGTATTTGTATAAATTTTGCACTGAGATAGCTTGCTAAATTAGGAAAAATATGCCTATTGCTAGATTGAAAGTCCCTATTTTTGATTTTTTTGGTTCAGAAAATCATGGCCACTAGATTTTTATACAGTGGTTGGAAATACTATAAAGAAATGCTTATTATACAATAATAATGAGGTTAATGTTGAGTTAAAGATTGTGGAGTCAAAGTATTGCCATGAATAAGACTACTAATTAGTCTACAACTTGGGTCTCCAAAAATAGGCCCTGCTGGTATGAGTGAATAAAAAAATTAGTGCCTGTAAACCCATTGCGTTCACAAAAACAGGTAATTTACTAAGGAATCAGGCACTCCTGTGGGCACACTTCTAAGTTCTATAAATTATTTCAGGATTTGATTGACAATGTCCATGAGTCCCTGATTATTCAGGCATACAGAACCAAAGAGGGCAATGGCAGCGAAGGGAGCCAAAGACAAAAAGTAAAAGGTACAGAAGAGGAATCCTAGGGAGATTTTAAATAAAATTCCAATGAAAAGGATGCTGCATTTTTGCTACATTCCTATATTTCCAATAAGCTAATGAGGCTTAGAGCTCCTCTGTCCAACTATTTACAACTTACTCTAACCAGTGGTGGTAAGAAAGGGAAAAACACAGAAGATCCAATAAGGACTGCATAGAATTTTGTGAGTCTGTGCTGACACCTTTCTCAGCTGCTCTGCCATCACTGCTGGTATTCACAGTAGGACCTGCTCCTTTACCTCTGGAATTGACCAATAAAGTTATATTTTACTGTGGTTTGCTTTTGAATTTATTATTTGGATAAAAAGCAGATGAAAGAAAAAAAATGCTAAATTTTGGGTTTTATCCATAACAAAACTGAACTTTGCTGCCAAAATAGTTTTATAGATTTTATTTCTTAAGGTTTATTAGTGCACTGTCCTTATCTATTAGGAAATTTTTCTTGATATACGTCAATCAACTCTCCCAGAGTGTGATTCAATCTATATTTCTTCTTCAAAGCATTGGGGGCAAGTATTCTACTGGTAAAAGTGTCATTTTTGTTATACTTTTATGGCCTGCTCCTCTTTCTCATTGGAATTAGAGCGCTGAGTAAGAATCAAGTTTCTGTCAATTACCACATGGCTCTAAACTAGCAAAACCGATCTGAGCCTCAGTTTCCTCATTTGTAAAATGAATATAATAACTTTCCCAGTGCCTAGCTTACAAGATACTTGTAAGGATTCAACTAAAGAACCCATGTTGCTCTCACACAGCTACTGGCACATGGTAAACCCTTGAGAAAGTTTAGCTATTACATGTTATGACCCAACCTACCCTCTGCAACATTATCTTTCAATTTACGTTATTTTCCTAGAAATATTGTGTTAGCCAAGCTATCCAGACCTCCTTTCTTACCAAAGGGTATCTACATAACAGCTGACCAAGGTACTTGGTGTGATCAAAGGCAATCTAAGGGAATACAGTTCAACAAGCTCACTCAGGGATTAAAACCTGAATGCTGTTTCAGAAGTGTTCATAGACAGACAGCTGACTCAGTGAGTGAAACATACTCTTTCATAAGTCCCCCAAATTAGTCTCTTGGAATAAAAATTTTAGCACAATTTCCATTTTGGGTCCAAGATTAAAATATGTTTCATACATCAATACTTTCTCTCTTCTGATTCCTAATTTGTGAGAACGCAAAGCTCTCACATCCTTTCCTGTGTGCTAATGCCCTGCCTCCACTTAGAGAGGAGGAGACTGGGTCGGCTACTTCTAAGAAAGTAGTAACCTTCGAAGAGTCACATTCTCTTTCTGCAGTACTTGCCTCGACCCTATAAAAGGATCTCTGGCCATACTGTCAGGAAACCAAGAATGACTCATAAAAAAGTCCTGGCCTGGGAAGAGCAGTCTGCGGCCCCACCTGCCTGTGGACCCGGTATAGCAGTGATAACTCACACCTCTTGTGGTAAAGCACCATATGAAAATGATGTGTGTCAACAGGGGGTTATGCCAGCTTCTCTTTGGGAGACCTTTGCCTCTCTGCTGATGATGAGAAAGAAGAATTGTAGGAGGCACTACATCAAATTCATTCAGTCTCATTTAAGCAAATATAATATGAACACATTCCCTCAATAGTGGTAAACGTGACAGATATTATTATTACCTTAGCTCCTCCAGAAATATATCAAGGATATCACAAAAGTAGGTATAGATACTTCCTGAAATTCTCTTTTCAATGTGGATCCTTTGAACAATTATATCTTAGAGAGATATGCCTTGTTTAAGTAAACTAATAAATAATATTTGGTTTGTTGTTCCTTTTTAAATCTACTCTGCATTTTCCTGCCACATAAATTTAAATTTTACTGAAATACCACTGGCTTATTATCACTTTCCTGATAAAAAGCCATCTGTAGCTTTGAACTGCCTACAGAAGAAATCCTATTTTGTTACGCATAGTCAGCCTTTCCACAAATTAAACTCTGCACAGTTTTCTGGCCCCAGCTTACTTTCTACTACTCCCACTATGAATTCCCTGTTGCAGTCTGATCTGCTCATTTATTGTTGTCATAAGATTCTGTTTTCTGCCTTGTCTTCTCCATGACCTTTTCTTTGTTTCTGTTCTATGTAACTCTATGACTATTTCTCTCTGTTCTATGCAATCTTGTACTTTTCTGAAAGCAAGTAACTTGTGTTGGGGATTGTGATGACTTTAAAATATATCTACAAATTATTTGGTACTCTTCTCTTCAAAAGTTAAAGCCTAATTCCTTCTTCTTAAGTGTGAGCTCTTCCTAGTGACTGTCTTCTAATGCACTGAATATGGCAGAAGTGGCAGTGTGTGACTTTAAGAGGAGAACAGAAAGAGGGCTTTCTCCCTGCCCTTTCTCTCATAGCACCTGCTCGGGGAGAAGCTAGCTGACATGCCATGAAGATACTCAACAATCCTATGGAGAGGTCCTCATGGAGAGGACTGAGGCCTTGTACCAAAACCCAACAGGGAACTGGGACCTCCTGTCAACAGTCATAGGAGTGAGCCTTCTTGGAAGCTGATCCTCCAGTTTCAGTGAAGATAACAGGGGCCTCAGTCAACATCTTGACAGCAACCTTATGAGAGAACCTGAGCCAGAACCAGCCAGCTAAGCTGCTCCCAAATTTCTGACCCACAGAAACTACGAGATAATAAATATTTGTTGCTTTAAGCCACTGTTCATATTCCTGGAGTGAACATTGTTCATGTTTATCGTTATATCAAGAAGAGATCAGAATTATCTAAGCTGGTACTGAGGAGGCTGACATCTGGGAATGAATAGAAATAAAATGACAATCTTTTGTCTTTTTTCCCCACTCCCATTTTTCCTCATTTGGGGAATTGGAGGTTAATTTTAAGTGAACGGAAATTAAATTCATAAATTACATACTTTAAAATATTGGTTATGACAGTCCTTGTTCCATTCCACTGACTTGAGACCTAACCAAGCAACTCAGTATAATTACTCTATTTTTAATGCATAAGAGCCTGATCCCTCCCACAGAGTCCATTGTCCTCTGTTCCAACCACTGGGTCCACTGTCTGTGGTTTGGTCTACCTTTCTTCCTGCAAAGCTAAATCCTACATCTCAATAAAAGATATTTCAGGTCCAAAGTCCTTGACAAACCTTTCCCTGATCATCCTTGCCATTGTAAAGCAATGTTTCCATTTTGTGAACTTGACATATGGCAAATTTTTTGGTTCATATTAGATATTTCCTATTTTTACTTCCGTTTGAGTAAATGTCATATCACTGTGCCGTATATACCTATCGTCTTTCCCATGACCACAGGACTCAGTACAGAGGAGCTGGGCATGGTTCATTTTACAAAGTAACGATAATAAGTGATTCTCGAGTCAATGTTACTTGCTCATACTATAGTTTCTAGGCAGCAAAGACCCTGTGTGCTCCTAATGGCCTGAGATGACCACTAATTTTTTTAACTCTAATTTGTAGGAAACCCAAATTTGAAACATTTTTAAGTGATACTCTTGTCAGCACATATAAATAAAATGAGTGACTGTCTTAGTAACACTTCTATACTTTGTACAAGAACGAAAAGATAAAAGCCAGAAGTGGCCCTCTCCATGAAATAGTAAGAGGCATTAGTGATAAAGAACGACTTTGGCTCAAAAGATATTTTAAGAGTTTATATGTCAAATATATCTCAATAAAACTGAAAAAAAAATAAATAATTAAAAAAATTTTAAAAGAGTTTATATAGATTTCAATAGTCTAAGCTATACCTGGCTCCTGCAATCATGAATAATTGAGAATTGGGAATGGCCTTGATATGAAAAAAACAAAAACATATTAAACATTCCTTAGTGGACCATACTTTTACATGGTTACATTATCTTTTACTGAAAATGAGGAAAATGTTTTTTACTACATACCACTAAGTTTCCAATCACCATGACCATCATGAAGACAGTAAGGCACATCGTTTGGCCAGCGACCTCCATACAGTCCCACATGGTCTCTATCCACTCTCCACACAGCACGCGGAACACAATCAGGAAGGAGTGGAAGAAGTCATGCATGTGCCAGCGCGGGAGCTCACAGTCATTGGAAATCTTGCAGACACATTCTTTGTAGCTCTTACCAAAGAGCTGCATGCCGACCACGGCAAAGATGAAGACGATGATGGCCAGCACCAAGGTGAGGTTACCCAAAGCCCCCACAGAATTGCCAATGATCTTTATCAGCATGTTCAGAGTTGGCCAAGATTTTGCCAACTTGAAAACTCGAAGCTGAAAACAAAAGCAAGAAGGCTGTTACTGACCTGCCTTCTAAAGAATCTGTAAATTTATTTACAGGGAAAATCTACAGTGGAGCAATTGTAGAGTGCTGGAGTATTTGTATGCCAAACTATTATCTAGCAAATGAATCAGTTTCTTTAATACCATGGAGATATTTTCCATTCTGAAATAATCTATATTGTAAATAAAATAATTATATAGTTATTTATTGGCATTTAGTAATAAGATACACCAAAATTTCCAGAATCCAACATAAGCACATGTCATATAATTCTTGTTTTCCTGTATGGAATTGAGATAAATAGGATTAATGCTGATTAATTAGCAAAGATTGTTTCAGAGAAGTAGAAGCTCTCATTATTTAAAAGCCCAAAATGGATATAGTTTTCAGTGTACTTGAAATATCATGCTGAAATGCACAAGTGCAAATAAAATTAACACAAATTATACAAGGTACAAGAGAAAAACCAACTAATTTCTTTAAATCTTTAGATTGCTTTCATCTTGCTATATCTTTAACTTGCTGTAATATCAGGCTGTATTTTAAAGGAAATTTATTATATTCAAAGAAGAAATACTTAGACTTAAGTAAAAAGCTGCATTTTGTCAACCTTTATGTCTTCAGTGACTTAACTAATCAATTCATTATAGCGTGTAACTGGCTCTCCACCACTGTGCTGGACCCAGGGTTGTATTAGTTCACAGAAGCCTCTAAAGTACCATTTACGGTTAAACAGCAGCAGCATTTTATTTCTGACGGTTCAGTAAATGTCAGGCGAAGAGCAGTGCATAATTTAATGGTATCTAAGTGACCCAAAGGAGTGAATATAAGCACCAAAATTTTTAATTTATTCCCAGAGAATAATTAATGCAAAAGAGCCAGACATACAAAGCAAGACACTAATGATATTATGCTTCCTGTTTCCCCAGAATGCACCACATCACCAGGAAGATTTACTCAAGACTGTTTTAAAGTAGTTGCCCATATTTACTTGTTATACAATCATTTCTAATTTTCGTTCTGTTTTTTGCATCCTTCTAGCTTCAAATTAGAGCCACACTTATCCGTGAAGACTGGAAGTAAACCACAGCTCTAAGGATCCCAACTCAAATGTGAACTTTGAAAGTGGTAAGGGAAATTCAAAACAGACTTCACAACAGAGTTTTGAGACTAGTTATCATTAAGATAAGTTATCCATAGGAACCTGTCTTTGATAAGTATATACGACCTCTGTTATCTGAAAGTAAATCACAAACAGTTACAGCCAACTCAAGAGTTTTTGTTGTTGTTAGTGCTGACAAATCAATTTCGACTCCTAGCGACCCTGTGTACAGCAGAGTGGAACTCCGCCTGGTCTTTTTGCACCATCCTCTCATCTTCCAGCGCTGCATCAGACCATGCTCTGTTGCTATTTACAGGGTTTTCGTGGCCAATATTTTTGGCAATGGGTGGCCAGGTCCTTCTTCCTAGCAACTCAAAGTAATAGCAAAATAAAACATACCAAACTTTAAATGGAAATGTGTCAAGTGATATTTTGTCTCTTAATTTTAAAAGGTCTGTAAACTTATGAAATATACAGGTCAAATGAAAAGACCCCTTCTTTAAAATTAACAAAATATGGTACAGGCAACTCTTCTCGGAAAGTGGATTTCGTGACTTCCTGGTCTGGCTGCAGAGGCATACATGTGGGGAGCTCTAACCTCTTTCCTTGTATGCTCTAACTAGTCCTGACTTTTGGCTTCTTTGGGGGCAGAGTGGGCAACTGCATAATTCCTGAGCCTCGGATAGAAAGGTGGGCCCATCCTAAGTCCCCACCAAGCCTTCTGCATGATTAAGGAAACCCCACTTAACTGAAAGATGGATATTGAGTTGTTTAATTGTGCTTTGGGTTTATCTATGACTCCCTTTTTCTCCCTCTCCATTAGCCCTGCCATTCAATTACTAACACGAGAACTGTTGGCTGTTCATTTGAATAAATTTAACCTATCCATTAAAGCTATGATGGAAGAAATTACCATCCGGTTGTGGGGCAACCTGGTTTGTTTTAGAAATATATTCAAATATTATTATAACTATGGAAAACCTTGTAATTATTACTAGATAAGAGTGAAGACTAATTAAATTACATAACTTTACATGTAAAAATATTATGGATACTCCAGTTAATTTACCAGTCGAAATGATCGGAGAACTGACAATCCTTCCACGTTTGCCAAACCAAGTTCCATTAAACTAAGGCTCACGATGAAACCATCAAAAATATTCCAGCCTTCTTGAAAGTAATAATATGGATCCATAGCAATGATCTTGAGAAACATTTCTGCTGTGAAGATCCCAGTGAAGACCTAAATGAGAAATGTTTTATTACATGAGTGAATATTTTTGAAAATATAAATAATTACTGAGCAATTTAATTTACTCCCAACAAATCACAATTAAATTCTGAATTTTAAAAATTGGTTTAGGTCCATTAAATCAGTACCCTCAGATGGTTTGTATTCAATTCAATATTTGTTTACTATATTTAAGATTTATCAAGTGATGAAGAGTGTAAGAATTAAGACAATAAAATTACTATTCTTACTTTTATATACTTAAATGAAAGGTTCAGCTAACTCATTGTGGTCAATTGTTTGGCTCTGCCTAATAGTTGGTCCTCTCCCACAGCCCTGCAGACAAGGCTGGTGCTAAGAAAGCTCCATACAGGCTGTAATAAACTTGGTCACCATTAGCCCTACAGATAGTAAGAATGCAAAAAAAAAAAAAGCTGATTTTCCTGGCCAAAGAGAAGCAGCATTCTCCATTCTCCATTTTTTTTCTACAACTATTTCAAACTTTCTCCTCAACCTATCTTCAACCGTTTTTCCTTATCCTCTACTCTCAGTACTTCTGTGTCTTGGAGGTAATAGAAGTCAGCCAATCTGAACTTTCTCAGTTTCCCTCTATCTAACACACTACTTACACCCATACCCATGGCTTTGCTATTCCTTCTTGTTAAAAATGAAAGAAGTGTCCCGCTTTGCTCTAATTTCTCCAACTATGTTATGTGTCTCCTTTGGACTTCTCAGAGAATTCACTCTCTCAGTTAATCTGTAGTTTCAACCTCTTCCAGCTACTGACTGCTTCCTATTGGGATTTTACAGGAAGCAACAGATACTCAGTTCTTCTCCACCTTGAAACCACCACCAGTGTCATCAAAGAGACTCTCCTTGCATTCTACTTCCCCTGTTAGTTACCACCTTCTAGCCTCTCCGCATAGCCCAACTTCTTTAAGACATTGTATATTTGTCTATACTCACTAGTTTCATTTTTTCAACTTACTCCACAACCCACTAGTCAACACAAACTGCTGTAACCAATTTCACCAACATAACCAACATCACTATTGCTAAATTCAGCAGGAACTTTTAGTATTTATCTTGCTTGCCTCCTTAAGAATTTTTCACATTGTTTCCTGTTCCTTGTTCCTTAAAATATTTTCTCTTCCTGGGATCAGTGATCCACACCTCCCTGGATACTTGTCAGTGGCTTTTTTTCCTCCAACAAATTATTCAATATTGGATTTCTTCTCTTTGTTCTGGACCTTCTTACTCTAATTTTCCTTTTACAATAAGTTTACATTTTGAGATCTATTTTTCCATTCGAGCATACCTCCTGAGCTCCAGAACTATATACTCATCTGCCTATCCAACACCTCCACTAGAGGACTATCTCACAGGTACCTCGAATTCAACAGGTCCAAAATTCACCTTACCACTCTCTCTGCACAAACTTGCTTCTCTTCTGATATTTGCCAACTCAGTAAATGGAAGCATTCTCTACCTTGGTGGCCAGCTTAGAAACCTGAGAGTCTTACAGATTTTTCCAAATGTCTTGAATACTTCAAGTTGAAATTCACCCATGCATGTATTACCAGTTTATTCTTTTACTGTTGAATAGAATTTCATTGTTTGAATATTCTGCGGATATTTAGATAACATATAGAACTTTTTGTTTCTTTTCCAAGAAATCTTTGCCACTCCAGTTACATGTGCTAATCTTTTCATATATTTGACACATACACATACGCTATAAACCCTTGCTTTAAACAATTAGTTGTCTTTTAAAGAAATTAAGATGAGGAAAAAAATAGCCTTTTCTGTTTACCCACATTTATTCATTTCAAGTGACCCTCATTCTCAGATCCAAATTTCCATCTGATATGTTTTTTCCTTTCTGAAGGGAAAAACTAAAGAACTTTCTTTAGCATTTCTTGTAGCATAATTCCAGTGCAGCAACTTCTCTTGGTTTTTGTTTAAAATTCCTTATTTCACATTGCTTTTGATAGATAGTTTCAGTATAGAATAATGTTAACTTTTTACTCTTGTCTTTGTTTCATCAGGCCATTTTCTTATGCACTGAATTCTTTCTGATGAGATGTTAGTCCCTTGTATATAGTAAACACTTTTCTTCCAGCTGCTTCCAAAAGTTTCTTTTGTTTTTAGTAGCTTGACTAAGATGTGCCCAATATAGTTTACTTTATATTTATTCTTATTGATGTTCACTGAAATTTTATAATTTAATATTAAGGTGTCTAAGTTAATATTTCTCAAAAATTTTGAGAAATTTTTGGCCATTATTTCTTCAAATATTTGTTTTGTTCCATTCTCTCTCTTTTCTCCTTTTGGGTCTCCCTTATGCAAACACTAGACCAGTTGATATTATCCTGCAAATTAGTGAGATTCAGTTCATTTTTCCTTTTAGCTTTTCTTTGCTGTTCAAATTGGATAATTTCTACTGACTTGCTTCAATTTTAATAACCCTTTCTTCCCATAGCTGCAATTTACTTTTAAATCCATCCAATGAATTTTTCATTTTAGAATTTGTACTTTTCAGTTCTAAAATGTCTAGATGACTCTTTTTTATAGTTTTCTTTTTTTCCTGCTCATATTCTCCATCTGTTTATTCATGACCATATTTTTCCTTCAAATTGTTAAACATATTTATAATAGATTCTCTGAAGTCCTTTTATGTTAATTCTAGTGACTCAGTCATCTTCATATCTAATTCTATTGATTGCTTTTTCTCTCAACTATGAGTCACATTTTCCTGTTTCTTCACATATCATGTAATTTTTTATGTGATATGAACGATGTGTTATAGATAGTTTTGATTCAATTATTTTCCTCAGAAGAGTATTGATTTTTGTTCTAGCAGGCAGTTAAATTATAGGTTGGCCACCTGGCAATTATAGTAGCTTGGCTTTACTCTTAATCAAGGCCAGGATATTTTGGCTTGCTCTTTGTCCTAGTTGAATCTTCTGGTTCTCTGATATAGTCTTTACTCCTAAAGCATAGCTCATGTGGGGTCTCAAAGGAAAGCTTAACATGTTTGTCCAATTTCTGTATCTTGACTGGTTTCAAATTCCAAACTCTCTTGGGAGGTATTCCTTTCTATTCTATTTTTTGGAATAGTTTGTGAAGGATTAGTGTTAATTCTTTAAACATTTGGTAGAATTCACCAGTGAAACTCTCTGGGCTTAGCTTTCTTTAGTGGGACCATTTTTTGATTACTAGTTCAATTTTTACTTGTTACAGGTTTTTTCAGATTTTCTATTTCTTCTTGGTTCAGTCTCAGTAGTTTGTTACTTTCTAGGAATTTTTCCATTTCACCTAGGTTATCTAATGTTTGGCATACAATTGTTTACATTATTCCTTATACTCCTTTTTATTTCTGTAAGGCTTATAATGATTTCCTCTCTTCATTCTTGATTTTAGTAATTTGAGTCTTCTCTCTTTTTTTCTTGGTAAATCTAGCTAAAGATTTCTGCTGATTTCTCAAAGACAACTTTTGGATTTGTTGATTTTCAGAAATGTTTTTCTATTCTCCACTTCATTCATTTCCACTCTATTCTTTATTATTTCATTTCTTCTCCTAGTTTAGGGTTTAGCTTGCTCTACTTTTTCTAGTTTCTTAAGGAGGAAGGATAGAGTATGGATGAGATTTTTCTTCTTTTTTTACTATAGCATTTACAGCATAAATTTGCCTCAAGCACTGTGTTAGCTGCATTCTGTAAGTTTCAATTTGGTGTGTTTTAATTTTTATTCATCTCAAAGTATTTTCTAATTTCTCTTCTGACTTCTTTTTTAACCCATTAGTTATTTAGGAGTATGTTTTTTAATTTTCACATATTTGTAAATTTTCCAAGTTTATTTCTGTTATTGATTTGTAATTTTATTCCATTTTTGTCAGAAAAGGTACTTTATATAATTTCAACCTTTTTAAGTCTACTGAGGCTTGTTTTATGATCTAACATATAGTTTATCTTCAGGAATGTTCCATATGTCCTTGAGAAGAATGTGTATCCTGTCTATATATTTTCTACTATTCCGTGATTCACCTCAAATACAAATTCCACCTTCCTCGACACATAAGACAACTCCCACTTTGAATAGTCCATTGCTGTTTATGTCTTTCCAGCATCCACTCTCTCTTCTGGTAATGACAGACCTAATTTTCTTCTTAATAATTCCACTCATTTACTCTGTTGCCAGCGATAAGACATGGTTCTTGTTTGGTCAAACAGGGCATTCTAACCCTAGAACCAGAGTAACTGACTGGCTTAGAAATCGTCATGTGACACCACCCAGGCCAATGATATTCACTTCGTGGGCCTTTGTTAAAGCTAGTAGTCTGGAAGCACAATCATGCTCAGGGAGCTATGTTGGTAGGATAAAAGTTGGCAGAATGTTGCCATCGATAGAACACCCAGTCAGAAACAAAGGATACATAACAGGAAGAAGAACAAGAAGTGACTCCCAGTGACATTGATTGAGAACCCAAATCTAGCTAGGTGAAAACTTGGAGCTATGCCCAAATGGACTTTAGTTGCTTGAGGTAATGAATTCTCTTTATTTTTGCTTAAGCCCATTTCAGTTGTTTCTTAATACCCTCTTCCATAAAGCTTTCTTTCATCCCTTGCTCATTTTTTAGAGACAACTTTGAAAAGATTCCTATATAGGTAAAAATTTGGACTAGGTAACACAATTGTCCTTTCCTATGCTAAAGTTCCGTGATTTTTGACCACAGCTTACAATAGTTTTCAGAGTCTCTGATACCGTGTTCAGATCTTCCATTGCTCTGTCAATTTCTCATGGGTAGTTTCCCCAGCTGTAAAATACAGACGATCATAGTATCTACCTTAGAATTGACTTTGTGGGAACCTAGAGAGAGGAATTTCATGTAAACCATTTAGTACCGTGCTTGTTACAAAGTAAGTGGTCAGCATATGTTAACTTTATCACTGGATTCAGTTAAGACCTATCTGGAATATAATAAAAAAAAAAATAGTGGTTACTTCACAGCCTAAAAATATTGTGCATTATACTTTAGCATATATTACTTACTGTCTATATACAATCTGTTTATATGTTCATTTATCAGGTTGGGAGGTACATAAGAATTTAATAAGCCTCTATGTTGTACCAATATATTTTTGTTGACTGAATTTATTCATTTTATTTCTCTGTATAAGACCACTTTACTTTCATTTCTATCACTTTACCACGTATCCAGTGAATGTTAATATAAATTTTTAAGTGAAAACATATGCCAAAAATCATCATTTATAGATTCCTAAATTTACAGGAGAAATTCAAACAGAAATAATAACCTCTATATGATGTTTCCCCCTCAAAGAATCCATCTTCAAGTATTTACAAGTGATATTTCAAAATTATCTGGTTTGGTATATTGTATAATTTATTTGGCGAATGTAGACATGTCCTAAAGAATCTATTCTAAATCCCTGAGAAATACATCAGGATCTTGTTATCATAGACCAATGCCCTCCATAAGTCATGATCATCTTTCTAATGAATGGGCAATTTAAATTTACTTCTAAATCAAATTGCCCACAAAATCTTTGAATCTTTTGCACTGCTTCTTGTAGCAATATATTTTTGTTGTTAAAAAAGGAATGTTAAGCTTTTGCTGTGCAGGTATACATGGCCAATTAATTAATATTTAATTTGAGAGTGAGATGTGAAATTTATTAAGGCAATCATGAACTCTCTCAATGGGAAGAGGAACTCTCGGGGAGCCTTACTCACCAGGTTCCCGACCGACAGTACACTGCTGAACTGCTCTGTCATGGGATAGTGCTCCATGGCCATGAAGAGTGTATTTAAAACAATGCAGATGGTGATGGCCAGGTCCACAAACGGGTCCATCACGACCAGGTTGACAAGATGTTTCACCTTTAACCATGGTTTACAGCAGTCCCAAATTAAACACATGTTAGCAAATTTATACCAGCAGGGTGGGCATTTCTGTCTGGATTCTTCAAGTTCTGGAAGAAAAAAGTTAGAATATTCATGAAAACTGCTTTCTTTCTATTCGGCAGCCGTTGGTTTAAATTGAAAGTGATTTTCAAAAACTCTAAATTTGTTCAAAGGCATTCTGGGTTCATCTGATTGTGGAGCAGGAAAACACTTTTAATGGGTTAGCTGTCATGGAAAGCGTGGGCACAGAAAGGCTAGTAAACTTTCCAAATTTATCTTGGTTAAACATAGTTTCCAAGATTCTCTGTGCAATATTAAACTCTCTGACAATTGCCTTCAAGGCTATCAGAAACTAATGGGTAGGACTTGCATTAATTATACTTAAAGCTCATCCACCTTCCATATAAAGCCAGACTCATACGTATTATCAAAGAACTCCTCTCAGGGGATGTCCTAAAAAACTTTACTAGTCATGCTGGATCACAGTTTTTTAGATTAGATACGTTTTTTAGGTCTTTTAATGAGATAGTTTTGTCAGTGTCATCAGTCTTAGTCAAAAAGCTTCTAGTTTAAGTTTCCTTAGATATAGGCTCCTATATTAAACTCATCAAGATTCCTTTTCTCTGCATTTCTTAATTTAACTAGAGGTCACAAAAGAAGAGGAAATATCCACCCTAAGAAACTGGGATCCTCAGTGTTAACATAAATGAATGTTTCACAAAATGGAACTCATGTACTAGTATACTAGTAAAATATAGGAGAATTTTATGTGGAATATATGTAGAATTCATAAATTTTCATAGTATGCATTTACTTTAATGTATTAAAATGTAAAAGTATCATTACAAACTTATGATATAAAACAATATTAAAATACATTTACTTAAGAAAAAAGTACAATGATTTCAAGAATTTCAACTAAATAATAAGAGAAGACAGAAATGCATACATCTTTAAGATGACACTCACAGTACTGGAACTTGGTAAACATTGGCAAAGATTTTTGGGGAATAAGGATGGGGGAAATTACCTACTATCATCCTTTGGTAAAATGATCTCTAAACTGTTGGGTGGGAAAAGGGTGCAGAACTTGTTTTCTGCCAATACGAGAGCTGCATACCCTATTACCTGCTCTGCCAAATATGAGACCACCACTTCACAGCTCTAAGACAGAGGAAAACATTCTTTTTTTCATCCATGGCATAACTGATTCTGGTCAGTCACTTTAGTATTACTACTCTAGTGACGGGAATATCCCTCCAAACTTGCTACAATTTACTAGGAACCAAACTTTATATGGGAGGAAACAGCAGATGGAACGGACAAACATGACCATAGGTAATGATTTTTTGTTCTGCTGGCAAACATTCACCACTAACTAATGCTATAAAGTTTATCACTTCCTTAAAGTAAATTAATTTCCTGATTATTTTGTTGTTGTTGTTGTTCAACTTTCTTGCTGAGGAAGATTGGCCCTGAGCTAACAAACCTGTTGCTAATCTTCCTTTTTTCTCTTGAGGAAGAGTGGCCCTGAGCTAACATCTATGCCAATCTTCTTCTATTTTGTACGTGGGTCACTGTCATGGCATGGCGTAAGCCACTGTAGGTTTGCACCCAGGATCTGAACCTGTGAACCCCAGGCCACCGAAGCAGAGCATGCCGAACTTAACCACTGGGCCACCGGGCCAACCTCAATTTCCTGATTATTTTTCACAAAATTCCATTAGAGGTAGATTCTTCAACTGTCTCTTTAGATATTGAAATTCTTCAAGTTCACAGCTTATTTCCATTTCCCTTCATATGTAATTTTGTAAACAATAAAGAATAGTCGAGTTGTACATCAGAAGAAAAATATAAATATAATTATCATTGCACTAGTCATTTTATAGATGCTTTTAAGACTGCCAAATAACCTCATGTTTATGCTGAAGATAAAAAGATATTATCCTTTATAAGAAATAACAAAAGAGAAACCAAAAACATCTCTCTCTGCCTGTGTACAGTCAGACTAAGTATTTTTTTAAATTCGACTTGTCTTTTAGTAGATAAAGAGAAGCAAACAGGATTTGTGTAGGAAAAAAACAAATCAGAGAAAAGTTCCAAAGGGGACATTCAGCCGGTGTTGCCCATCTCGACACCAGGAAAAAGTGGAGCAAAGCTGTTTAAATTCTAAAATAAAATCATTCAATTATTCATGCCAAAAAAAAAAAAAAAAAAGAAAGAGAATCTTAGACTTTGAAACAGAACAAAGCACTCAGGAACCACAGCCATCTCTCCATTATTCCTGTGTGGGTTATCCACACTGGGAAGCATTTACAGCCCAGGTTAGATCTTTCCGCTGGCTCTCCTCAATTTCTCATGTGCTTCTAACTCAACCTCCCCCTCTCCTTTCCATGGGTGTGACCAGGAAATAAGTCTATGTGGTTTTTGCATTTAAAACACTTGAAAAGCAAACAATTTATTTGTGCTCATCTCCTAGAGTTTCATCAAGTCAGAGGCTGTTCATTACTCTGGACAATGGAGACTTGGCTGTAATTCAAAAGACGAACAAAAGTTGCCAGCTGGATCAGCGAGCTCGGTTCATGGAAAGGGAAGGCGAACTAAACCACGATTAGACTCAGAAGAAAGGATCCCCAAATAAACAGATTATGTCAACCTAAGAAACTTTTCCACCATGAGCAGGAACAAAAAAAAAGGACTATATTAAAGACAGCTCGAGTTGCATGTGTGTGCTAAGTAACGACAGCCAGCCTCGATCCATGCCACATTCAAAGTATAAAGATATAACTGAAAGAAGAAAAAATAAACTTTTCATTCTATACAAACAATGAAAAACGGAATGAAAACTTAGCCATTGTCCGTCACAAAAATATAAAGTCAAAAGCTCTGCAGACATTATAACCAAACACTCAGTCCCCTGCTTCCTAAGTTGTACTTATTTCTGAAATGACATCCTTTTCATCCTAAACAACTCCAGGAGACGCATTTCCATGGCGGGTGATGTGGGTGCACTCATCTTGAACTTCGTATGCTAATTAGCGGACAAGTCCCCTCTAGTGGTGGGTTGATGCTTTTAAGTAATTTCTTACGTTAGCTCAGACTTAATGCTATCAGAAGTGCAAAGTAGGACTGTTGATTTAGACTTACCCTGTCTCCTTCTCTACTTCTTGCTTTAGGGAGCAGACATGCTGCTGACATCGGTAGCAGAACCACTGGCAGCTTCCTCTCAGTGGTTTTGCTATGGCAAGGAGCAGAAGACCAGAGAATCTTCAAAAGATTTACCTGGAGGGACAGGGAGGAGCAAGCTACTGGCAGCTGGGGGGGAACAGGGAGTGCAAGCTAATGCAGGCGAGGTTGGGGAAGAACGTACTGAGTTTAATATTCCGTAGAAATCAGTGAAAAGATTTCTGATACTGTATTAGGACATTACAAAAATTGGGTCTTGTAATACTGACATGGCTGTGATACACACAGCCATCTACACTGTGAGTTTTTTTCTGGCTGTGACTTTTAGGCTTTTGGTACTGGTATTAGTATCCTGGGATCTTTGCATTCAGACTGGAAAAGACTTATTCCAAGAATCTATCCAAATCAAGAGAAACTATAAATAACAATAATAAAGGCATGTGTGCATGCTCTGTCTCATTCTCTGTCTTTCGTTTTCCCTTGACACATCTATACACATACAAGGGCGAAAAGAGAGAGGTTATAAAAGAGAAAGGGGGAAAAGGGGAAGGGAGGGCAAGGGAGGAGGATAGAATATATTTTATATGAAAAGTATTTTCCAAGTAGTTTAAATTGATAGTTGATGTCTGAATTCACTTACGGCATGGAGAGGCACAAATATGTGAATTAGCAAAACAACAAAAATAAAACAATTGAAAATGACAATAATTGTTGATTGCCTTCTACAAGCCAGGTATGGAGGTGCTTTATATTTCATGCCTCATTTAATCCTTACAACAACTTTGGCCTACACATGATTATCCACATTTTACTGGTGAAGAAAATGAAGTTTAGAGTCATAAACTAACACATTTAACTTGTGGTAGAGCCAAGAATCAATCACAGATCAAGCTGTCCCCAAAGTCTTTATTTTGGCATTATAAGATCCAGACCTCTAAATAATATGTTAACTACTCAGATATCATCTGCAATGAAAGAGAAAGCTGATAGATTATAATCCTCTGGTCAGAGAAAGGCAAAAGTAGTTCTACAACATTTTAAAAACTTCAAAGAGATTAATATCAAACCCAAATTCATATTTTTCATTAATTTTTCTGGTTACATCAAAGGATTTTATAACTTGTGTCTCAAGTAGTTAATACAATTCAAATGAGTTAGGTTCATTATAAAAATAAATATTTATCATTACCCTCCTTCCAATGTCATGCACACGACAAGCTTCAACAGTCTAGAATTTAATCTACAAAAGTAGTATTTCAAGTGTACCTTGAATTTGCAGCAGCTTCCCGGTGGTTAAACGTAAAAATCTATACCAGATAGTAGAATCCATGTGTTGCACATGGATTTTACTTTTATTTTGTAAAAGACATAATCATAATGTAGTATCAAGTCAGGAAGAATTTTATTGGAATTTACGGAAGCATTTTCTTTCATCGTTACCAAAGGCCCACCAAGTAACTATACTGTAAGACTTTTGACGTACCTTCCATGGTGTTGGTCAAAATACTAGCCATACTCATGGCTCTTTGCCTTGCTGTAGGATCTTCCAACAAATCCATGGAAACATGATAAGAACTGGACCGTCTCTTTCGTATTTCTGTTTCAGTAGTTGTGCCCTAAAAATAAAATTTCAGATGAAATTAAGGGCAACAAAACCCAAAGCATTCCTATAATATGTGCTACTTTAAATGTTCACTCTGCTTTCTCAGAGGAGAACGGCTCATTAAGACTTTGTGGGAATCATCATTCCTAGGAAGTATTTGAAAGCCCATCAGATACTCAGCTTTCAGGGATGCCCAGCTGTGTATCTTGGAGCTTTGGGCTGGAGGGACCATGCCTACTATTGGATAGATAACCTTGTAGCATTTCAACTGATCCTACCTAGGACTTCAGAGTGAAACATATTGTTCCTTGATTTACTCTCACGTTGAGTTATGACATATTTATAGATGCATATTCAGGTGGTATAATGTATGAAAATAATTCTTACGGTTTCTATAATATGCATCAGTAATAGCTCCCTAAAATGTGAACTCCACTTGTAAAATCCTTTTGTTCATTATGGACAGGTAAAATTTCCCAACATCCTTAATAATAAAACTAAATATTAGAACTAACCTATAGCTTTGTCTTACATTCACAAAACAACTCCATCCACAAAACAACTCATCCTTGGCATTGAAACTCTAATTTAAGGCAATAACACCAATTTGGGGGTCTTTGATTTTTAACAATGATATCATGATTTGCTACTTTTCTATTCTAAAATAAACTCACCAGAATTTCAACATAGGCAGAAACTTATTCCTACTTTAGAAGATCAAACAATGAAGTTAATTATCATAAGAAAAAAGGGCCAAACTCAAGCATTTCACATGCAGGTTGAAGTGCTAATAATGAATAAGAAGTCACTTTTAGTTCTGCGAGGATTTTCTCTATTTCTAAAATAGCAATATGAGTCCTGTTCGCCTACTTTGACCTATTTGTGATATGAGTAACATTGTTTTTATTAACCTTCATATCTCTAAAGCAGTCACATTCAAAAGCAAAGTTTTCACTCAATTGATGGGATTGTCATTAATGGTGATAAACATCCATATAGGTCACTCTAAAGTTAATTTTAGGGTAAAAGAGAAGTAAAATTAATGAGAAAAGAAATAATTCATCTGTGAACTAAAGCTCTTTAAATCAAAAGGTTGTCTCTCAGAATTTAAAGTATTTAGCCTGGTCAGAGAGAGGCAAAGTTTTAAGAAAAAAATAGCGTTGCTTAAAAGTCATCTAGTGCTTTCTGCTCTATGCAGAACTAAATGTACAATCCTAGATCTGTCTAATTTTTAACGACAGATTCCAAAATCTCTCATGATATTACCGAGGAAATTCTTTCTTAAGGTAAATTGCTTCAAATTCAAGCTACATGCTTGAATTTACATGTAAAGTCCAAGATGTTGTGTGCTTTGGAGGGTGTCCTTTGCCTGTAGCTGTTTATTTTCTTTTCTCCTGTCCCCTCTGCAGTCTCTCAAAGCCACCCTCTTCTGTCTGTGCCTTCAGCTCGTGTCACACCAGAGTGCGGTGCCCTGCCTCACAGCACCTGCCGGTGAGTGAAGGCTGGGCAGGAGGGAGCAGGAAGTGAAGGGATCACACCAGCCTTGGCTTCACACTGGCCCTGAGTTGCCCCAATCTCTTCAGAGATTTATCCCATCTTCTCTGATAGGCCTTGAGTTTTATGTTAATTACTGATAAATGCTAATTATTTTCTGACTATATTCTCTTTGTATTTATGCAAACAAGTTGTGGATTTGTTTTTGTTTGCTCAATTAACTTGTATCAAAATCAGTGATACTCATACTTTATTATGCATAAGAACCATGTGGGATGTCTGTCAAGGAAGAAGATTCCTTGACTTGTTCTCACTGCCCTTTTGGTCTGAGTAAGCCTGGATTGACCCAGGAACCTCTACTTTTTCTTTAAACCACTTTATTGAGAAATGACTGACATGTAAAAGCTATAGACATTTAATGCACAAAATTCAATGAGTTTGAGGATAAGTATACACCCGTGACCTATTACCACCATCAAGGCCATGAACATTTCTATTGCCTTCGAAAGCTTCCTCTCTTGCCCCCTGCCTTTATTATTATTACTGTTGTTGTTGCTATTTGTGATAAGAATACTTGAGATAAGATGTACCCTCTTAGCAAATTTTAGGTATACAATACAGTATTGTTAGCTTTAGGCACTAGGCTATATAGTAGGTCTCCAGAACTTATTTATCTTGCATTACTGAAACTTTGTACTCTGTGACCGTCAAACTCAGAAGCAGAGAGTAGAATGGTGGTTGCCAGGGGTGGGAGGAGGGGGAAACAAAGAATCTCTATTTTTAAGAAGCACTCCATTCCAGGGAATTCTGACATAAGTAGTCTGAGGGTGAAGTATATTTTGAGAAACACTGGGTTAAAATGAAAGTATTTATTTCCTTAGCCATTTCTACCTTTTAATGTTTGTCCAACCATAATAAATGGAATTGTGTGACAAACAAAAATCATACAAAGAAGATTTTAATATGATTCAGCAAAGTATAAAATACAACCAAACGACATGGCTAGAATACTTTTATATTGGTAAATGAAATCCTACTTACCAAAGTTAAAAAGCACCTTACGTTTCACAAAGGAAATGTCAATTACATGTCCCTGTGAGTATCTGGTATTTAGTTGAAACTCTTCCCCATATGCTTGATTTAGGGTCACTTTGTTTACAAGAAGAATTCATGACAGTAATTTAAAGAGTGAAATTTGCTCTAAAAATTACAACACGATTTTTCAAGTACTTTGAGTGACTTCTTCATCACACGGATGTACAATGGCTGGGGTCATTTGAGAGAGTGCTAAAAAGTGTTGTTGCACTCTGACCTGCAAAGAGGAAGAATGTTTCCCTGCAGGATATCACATAGTTAGTAAGAGTACCTACTTCAAGAGGAAGCATCAAATTCTCCTTTCAAATGAACAGAGGTAAGATCCCTAAGATGAATATTTCTTTCTTTCTTGTATTTAATTTGATTATATTAAACATTATGCTTGATAAGTTGTTGCTGTGCTTTTTGGCAAGTTATATTACTGTAGTAATAATGACGAAGGAATACTTCTAATTAGTATATTCTACAAGACCCATCCTATGTTTTTCATTCATTTGTAGAAAAATCTGAACGGAACTGTTTGACAAAATAAGTTCATAGCTTGATTGAACAAACCCCCGGCCTTTAAGCCATAGATTCAGCAAAATTTGTAGATGTAGAAATCAAAAACCACCCCCACCAGCCACAGCTCCCTTGCCAACAGCTGCATTTTCACTGGCCTCACCTCTGGCAGGAGCTGCCCAGCAGGAGACGTGAGGGCAGAAGGGCCTCCGACCAGGGAGACCACTCCATTGCAATCCACAGCGCTGTGCATCTTCCCGTTCATGGGCAGAATGGGGAGCACCCTGGAGGCACGGCTGGCCTGGCTGACGTTGCTGTGGCGCCGCTCTCCATGTCTGTGCGGCACGAACAGAGAGTCTCTTCGGCTGTCATTGTCTTCAAAGGTGCTGTGCTCGTCATCAGCAAAATCATTCTCCGAGCCAATATCCTTTGCTCGCCCTCTGAAGCTGAAAAGGCTCGCCCTACTGTTGCGTCTTGGAGAGAAAAGGGAGCCACGGATGCTCAATAAAGACTATGGATAACAAGAAGGGAAACAAAACCCACATGATCAGAATTAGAACTGGCATCCTGAAAAATATGGGACTGGATTTGCTGTTTCATAGTTGGTGATTTACCTAAGGGTAAGTCATCGGACAGGTGGAATCAAGGGGTCATGTGGTAACTGCTGGTGGTGTTCTGGAACTCTCTACTGGGTTCACCTCTTTCATTTTACTTTCCCTTTTTCTCCCTTCTTTCATTTTCATCTTCTGCTCTCTCATTTTCTGTCATTTTCTTCTACTTTACCATGCCTTAAGATAGTCACATACCCCTCAACATTGTTTGTCCCATTTCTGACACCTAGAACTGAAATTTTTGCTAAACTCTTCTCTGGAAGCTAATCTCACTTAACAATCCAATGGAAAGCAAGTAAGAACACACGTACATTTAGATCCTTTGAAGCCAAAAATATACCCAGTAAGAACATACCCTCTAGGGACCACAACCTGATGCAAATCTTACCACAGAGGAAAATAAAATCAATCTTACTAGTAGGTCTGTTTAATTATAGTATAAGGAGCAGTTTCTCTCCCTCTCTTTGCATATTTTGTAATGGTCTTCATGAATAAATTACACAAATCAAGCTGAAAGAAATGTATGACTCATTCTCTGATTTTCATTCTCCTATCTGTCTCAAGAAATCTGAACAGCACCATATTTACAAAAACCTGGTTTTCACCAAGTGTCTGGTCACAATCGTTTAACAATATTCTAAATAGCTACACTGCCACTGTCATCATGCAGTTTACTCTGATTCTTAAGTACAGTAGCACTGAGCACAAGGAATCACTTCCTGTTTATCACTAGTCTACTTTTATAACCTCACTCTAGTGAACACTTGTGTTTGCTTGTCCAGTATCCATTTCTCCTTCTTCTGTTGACAGCATCCTGCTTATCTCTGAGAAATGTTCCTCAGGCAAGACCATGACTCAGGCCTAGTCAATGACTGTATTCCACACCTCTGACCACAGAGAATGGTTTAAAGATGGACAGGAGACCCTGTTTGGTCCATTCACAGCCACTTCTTTCTTTTAGAATTGTTGCAAAAGAGGTGCATTTTCAAATTGGTGTTGCTAAAAATACTGAATATAAGTTTGGAGCTACGGTGGGCTTCTTGCCACCACACTGGAGGAACCTGGGCTGAGATGTGGAGAAACACTTAATCATGATAACAAGTTTTGAGCCCTTGGATCCGCCTTGCTTAAAGCTACTCATCAGTATTATTTATATGATCGAATCAATTCTCTTTTTCACTTAATCTGGCTTGAGTTGGATTTCTATGACTACTCACAGAAAAAATACTAAGTTCATCATTTAAACATTGTTAGTTTTGTCTTTTTCTCTCCAAAAGATTTAAAGCTAACTAAAATTATTTTGTACCTATATTTTTTTACATTTCCTGACTAATAAGTATGCTTCTAATTTTCTTTTCAGGTAAAGAATGATTTTTCTCAATAACGCCCATAAACATCTGTAAACCACTATCGTATGTTATGGGATCCTATTCATTATTTACAGAAAGAAGTACATCTAAGAACACCAATCTGCTCCCTCAACAGATGTTATTCCTGCTTTTTCCTGTGCCCATTACCTATTATCCATTTCTATTATCCTATTATCAATTATCCTATTATTTCATGCTATTATTTCATTAGTAAGATTCATTTTTTTCCTTTACTATTTTCCACGCAAATTTTTTTAAGTCTTTCCTAGACTACCCAATTTCTTTCATGTCTCTTTTCACAAGTGACTTTGAATAGTTACAGGATTTGTGATCTACTGGTTACCATTACCTCAGAAAGAAAGGCAGACAAGAAAAGCTTGGCAATAAGAAATAAAATAGAAATTATGGGTATGTTCACTCAGTAAGAGTTTATATTTTAACTATAAGTGCTCTACTCAATTACAGTCGATAGAAGAGTTGGAGGGAAAAAAGTTATGAAATTGTACACAATGTTTCTTAAAGTTCAAAGGTGAATTGGCCATACAAGAGCATAGTTTACATGTGACAGCTATATGAAAAATGATTGTGCCCCATCTGTTAGCATCAACTTCCACTGCTGACATTAATTGCATAAATCCATAGCAATCAACACTAGTTTATCACACTAGTTTTAAAAAGCAAAACTCCTGGTTTATCACAAATAGGGAGGGAACTAATAACTTAAGAAGGTCAACAGTATCTTATAAAGGTTTCAAAATAAAATACTCAGATTGTCTTGAGACTTGATTAGAGATTGCACTCTTGACTTCTTTGTCTCCCCTCTCCGACGCTAGCAAGTCACATTGAAGTCTAAGAAATATTTCATACAGCCTTCCTACTCTACTGAAAAAATTATAACCTTGTGGTAAAGGCCTACATTATGTCTTCAACAGTATGAAAGTAGAAATGGTTACCAACACAATCACCTTTCCATTGTGTCGCTACAAAACAATGGTTTTCAATACGTTTGGGTCTTGGACCCTTGAAAAGTCTAACAAAAGCCAAGGACCCTTCATCACTGTACCCAGGCTGAAAACTTCTACCTAGGTTGATATTTTCAGTATTACTTCCAGGGGCCTGCAAAGTGAGATTAGTATTATTTCAGGATCCCTGCCCTTCCCTCTCTCTGTCTTTCTCTCTCCATCATCTTAGTTAATTGACTAATTCTTTATCAGATAAAAAAAGTCTTTAGCTCTATTTTTATTCAAATATCACTTAAGAAATGATCAGCAGTTTGAACCAGATATTCCATATTGCATAAGTCAGTGACCTCTTATAATGCTCACAAGTTAGGAAATAGAGGCATGAAGAAGAGAATATGGGGAAAATTTTTTGAGCAATGTTTCAGAGAGGTGGGACAGAGCCAACACTTTCACGCTTCACTATTTCACCTAGAATTAGTTCTAGTGGATTTGAAATAAAACAAATTGGAGACTATCTGAGGTATGTGCTGATTTGCAGTTTCAAATTTAGGCAATTTTCCCTCAGGTAACCTACCTTCCTTCTTTCCTCTTTCCCTCCCTCCCTTCTTCTCTTCCTTCTCTGTTTTTCAAAATGATCAGTGATGTAAAAAGGAGACAATTTTACAGGAATTCACATTTATTAAGATTAATGTCTCCACTAATGGAATCGTAATGATGTGACAACAAAAGTGAATGACAATAAGCAAATATCGATATTTACTTGAAAACAAATTCTATTTTAAATTTGAATTCAATTCCACTAACCCTTAATTTATCCCATCTCATAATTTTATCTGGACTTAGAATGAATCAGGCTGACCTATAAAAATTTTGCACATATTACACATAGGGTTATGTGAGACTATGTTTGCTGTAAAATGTACAAAGAACAAGTATAACCTTAAATATATGTACCTTTTAAATGAAATCAAATCGTAAATTTCCCCATCAGTTTTTTAAGGTGTTCTTTCTAGTCAGCTTGATGAAGTGGAAAGTTCAAGAGTTTCAGTGTCAGGCCAAATTTGAACATCACCTTGGCCCTTGCCAAGGACATTGAGCAATTATTTAATTTCAACGAGCCTAAAAAATAGTGAAAATAATACTGTGCAGGGCTGTTAGCATTAATTATGGTAATGTTAAAAAGAATGCCAAGCATAAAACAGGCACTTGACAAAGAATTCAGTCCTCCCCTTCTCTTCACATCTGTAGCTTGGGGATGATGATTATAGTACCTACCTAGGACTGCAGTGAGCAGCTGAAACGAGTTTCTATTACAAGTTGCAATGTACTATGTAAGTGTTAGTCCTTATCATTGCTATCAACGCTATCGTTCTAATTGTTATTGCTACGTTACAGATATTAAGGTTGCACTACTGGTGAACTTGTCTTCTGAGAAACTGTATTTCTGCTAATTCTCTTGGTAATTTCAACGATGATTAAGGATCCTAAATTTCAAAGTTTCAGCAGCTGGTGTTGGTACATAAGCCAGAGGCATCCGGTGAACAATTTCTACACCAAATAAATCATGGTATTCTTTCAATGCAAGAGCCACATTAAACATGAGACAGAGATAACCAAGTGCAATTTCATACTACTGCTTAGTGTCATAAATCTTCCTCAGTGCATGCCTACCTAAGAATTTCGGATATACTTTTAGAAAATTTTTGCTTCAGTTCCCCTTGAAACAAGGGCATGAAGAATGCACTCTTCACCGGAAGTCTGCGTGTGGTTGGAAACAACCTCACAGATGGTCTGAAAAAGTTCGCAGTTCACTTCTAGGAACCTACCACTTAGAAAACCCACAATTTGCTGGGGCTGGGCACAGTAGCTAAGAAGGGATGGGAAACATCTGTTGATAATTTCTCATGTGGAAAATTCCCCTGAGATTTAACAAAACCTCAAACCACAAAGCTTCCCAAGCCTACTGGGATCGATGTTCTAAAAATCTTCCCTGGGATTCCAAAAAGTTGAGAAAATCACAAATTCTCTGAGGGGATAAACAAAACATGTGATGATCTTTACCATTCTGAAAGCATTGTGCTATCCAGGCAGAAAGCAGTTTTATAGCTTTTATAGCCAAATTCTGGCATATCTTAAAAAAGAATGTGTTTTTTATGAAAACACAATTTATTTAATCTAATATTTTTACCTGGTGTGGAGAAGAAAACCTCTTTTCATATGTCAGCCTACTTCCTTCTAAGGAAAAACGAAAACCTTTTCTTCTTATGCTGTCTTCAGATTCAGATTTGCGGACTCCATCCTCCTTCTCTTCTTCTCCAGACTGTTCTTTCTGTTTCTTTTTCTTCCTTCTGTTTTTCAGCTCTTTTTCGCTCTTAGAGCTCAACTTTGATGCTACTGAGGAACTCTCTGAGAAAACCCCCACTCCGCCAGCACCACTGAAGTCTCTTGATTCAGCAGACGCTGCTGCAGCTGCTGCCTAGAAAGGTACAAGGTCAATGATAGTTGCATACGAACTCTGAAAAAGATTAATCTATGTCACTGATTCATTTATCTTTAGTATCACGAATATGATCGTGAAAGATGATTCTCCATCCTGGTCTATATTTTGGAGAACAATGCATTGTCACTAGACCAATTAAAGTATTAACATCAACAGACATGTGGAAGATGATACATGTGATTTTGATGAAATCCTTCAAGGTTTGGCCTCACACTATGCCTTTTTTTTTTTTTTTTGAGGAAGATTAGCCCTGAGCTAACTAACATCTGTGCCCATCTTCCTCTGCTTTATATGTGGGATGCCTACCATAGCATGGCTTTTGCCAAGTGGTACCATTTCCGCACCCGGGATCCAAACCGGCGAACCCCGGGCCATCAAAGCAGAACGTGCGCACTTAACTGCTGCGCCACCAGGCCGGCCCCAACACACTATGCCTTTTAATTATCTAATAATATGAACAAGACACTCAAATACCATAACAATGTTTTTTATGATTTAAACAATATCTTAAGAAGGCAAGAATTTAAAAATGAAAGGTTTTCTATTTTAACCCGATCCATCACATTTCCACTTCACATTGGCTTTTAGTGCCAGTCTAAATTATTAAACTTAATTCTGTCAAACATTTTATTTTAATAAACTTCTTTTTCCTCTTTGACTTAAATTGAGTATTTCACTAAGAAATGCAAAACAAAAACATATTACAGGTTATATATAAGGGAACCCCAGATCATGGCATCTGAATGAATTTGTAAATTACAATAGTACAATTTTTGGAAAGATATAGTATTTAATGTTGTTGCTACCCCAGTATATTTTATTTATCTGACTTTTAGCACATATTTACAGTACTCAGTGTTAAAAAGGAACCGTAGTCAAGATCCAAGAAAAAGTTAAAATAGGCAGTTGGATTAGTTAAGGCCATTAAAGTCAAGTAAATATAATTAGAGAAATTCTTGCCTTATTTTGAAGCCTTATCAAGTCCACATTAAAGAACTTACAGGGTAGGAGGCAGAGAACGTAGTGATTTAGTATGTTTACATACCAGTGTTTTCCTTATGCAATCCACAAACTTGCATTTAAACACTCTTCAAATAGAAAATAAACATTAAATAGGTCTTTGTATTTCCAGATTCTATGAATAATCTTCTCAGTTTGACTCTGGTTTTCTGAGCTTTCCCACCTCTAATGACACTAATGAAGAAGCAACTATAACTGAATTCCTTTTCCCCAGAAGATTAAGAAAATACTTTGATTGAGGGCATGAAGTCTTACCACTTTGTGGGCCTGAGTAAATGAGGGGTCACAAGGGAGAAAAAATGTCAATAAAGCAGTTATAATTCTCCATGTTTTGAAGCCATTACTTTTGACAGTAATCATTAAAATAAAATAATAATCTCCTAATAACCAAACAGGCTCCTAACACTTACCAAACATATCTGCCATGTTTTGAATGTCAGTTACCACTGCTGATTTTGCATGCTAAACGCCACTGACCCCACCAGTGTGGTCGGAGAATTGAGATAAACAAACACAAAAGAGCTCTATGCTTGTTGACTATACCTGAGCTTCTTCCTGTTGTTTTTTTAACTGTTCAAGCATCTGCTGGAATTCAGCTTCTTTCTGTTCAGCCTCTTCAAGTGTTGCCTGATTCTGTTCCTCGTAGGCCATGGCCACCACAGCCAGGATTAAATTGATAAGGTAGAATGAGCCCAAGAAAATGACCAGCACAAAAAATATCATGTATGTTTTCCCAGCAGCACGTAGTGTCTGCAAAAATGGAAGAGAGATTTTATTAAATTTTATATAGGATGTTACCAACTCACACGCCAAGTAATAAAGTATTTTACAGCAATTCTCTTGATTGCAGTATTTCCTGCTTCCCAGAAAACTCCTTTTATCTGTTCTCACCAGTTGATAAAGGTTTTCCCAGAAGTCTTGAGTCATGAGACGAAACAAGGACAAGAAGGCCCAACTAAACGTGTCAAAGCTCGTGTAGCCATAGTTGGGATTTCTACCAGCCTTCACACAGATGTATCCTTCTGGACACTGGCTGTAATCAGGTTAAAAAAAAAAAAAGGAGTCAGTAACTGTAAGTGTTGGCTGGTTTGCCTGTTTGTATAGATGCCAATGTCTGTTTTATAGGACACAAGGGAGACAAGGGAAGGCAGATTTCTCTCACCTCACCCAGTGCTTGACCCAGATCCATGTGGACTGGTTTACAGCATAACAGAATCTACTAAGTCTATTTGTGGATTCCTCTATGATTCACAAGTGTCGTTATTATATTGACCATATCTCTATATAAAAGCAGTCATATCATGACTACTATCTTCTGGGACTTATGGACATGAACAGAAAAATAAGTCTACAGAGAAAAACCGAAGACGCAGCAGTGTGTGTGTGTGGCAGTAGGGAAGAGGGGTGAAAAAAGGATGAATGGAGAGGAGGGAATGACTCTGCACAGTGAGGATTTCATAGTGCGACCTTCAAGATCAGGCTGCCCTGGCCTAAATATTGTGCCTCACACTTCAGGGCTGCTTGATCCTGGGCAAGTTTCCTAACTTTGCTAATCTTTGGGCCCCCATGTATAAGAAAGAGCTAATAACAGAACCTGCCTCGCAAATGTGCAAGCGTTGAATAAGATATTGTATGTAAAGCATTTAGTGCAGTATAGACAAGGAATTAAAATCATTCTGTTTTACTTATCACTGGGGGCTGGAGATAAAGGCAGCATAGTCTTTATCATATGAGCCAAATGCAAAGCATGTTACCATTGGGAATTTTGCTACAGGGATTGGTTACTAATGTCTACAATATCATCTTCCATAGAAAGAACATTAGCTTCTGCCTATGATTCTAAAATCTTGCCAAATAAGATAAAGGTAACTATTTCTCTGAATTTCCTAGGCTTTAGCTCCAGGTACAATATTTCTAAATTACAAGCATTCATGTGATGTCACTCATAATAATTAAAAGCATTTATTGAGTGCTGTAATAGCTATATATTCATTAAACAATGTAATTCTTACAGCAACCCGATTACTATACCCATTTACCACATGAGAAAACTAAGACAAAAGGAGGTGACATTATATGGTGGAGTCAGAGTTTGAACCCATGGAAACTCTCCAGTCTGTGCTTTTAACTACTTAGCTAAAATATACTAGACATACACGCACCATGCCTCAGATATAGACATTATCTTCAGAGATCTTACATTTTCAGCCATGGAGAGCACATCAGCATATATAAAATATCACACTTATAAAAGTACATGCTTATGAATTCTGTTAACTTAAGCTTCTTATGTATGTGCACTGCTTTTCTCTCTATTTTCCATTGAACTAATTTGGAAGATTAGCTGTGACCTAGTATGGAAAAATAATTGCTGCATATGAGTGCGTGAAGGAGGTGAGAATCCACACTTATCCCAGCTATTTTGAGAGTCAGCGTGAAGTAGAATTTATGGAGGGCTTTGAATGGGGAGTGGGCGGAGGCCAGGTGGGTGGGAGGTGGCGGGTTATTGAGGCTGGTGAAGCGGTGTGGACTGAAAATCAATACGAAACATCACTTACCCTGCATCTGAGCTGTTGCCACAAAGCAGTGCGTCATTTTGCCCTTCCAAAAAGTAAAAGTGACCTATTTAAAGAACAAGGAATAGAAAGAACCATTTAAAAAGCCCTCAAAATACTTCAGCCATTGTGTCTGGATAATAAAGCTTAGAGTTTTTTCCAACCATAATGAACTAGACAAATAATAAATATGTATATGGCTAAATGAAAATATTTTAATAATAATTAAATACTGACAACATTTCCGATTGAACAAATGTTTAGAAAATCTGTTTTAAAAAGAAATTTTTTCTAAAGGAATAACTATTTTAGCATTTTCATATCAGCATTTATTGAAAATATAAACTTAAATTGCTTGGGATACTTCAGGAAAGAGCCACCAAATTAAGGCTGTTTGCTTGGCACAAAAAGTAAGAGAAAGGGAAACCTTGCTGCTTCTAAATACTTCCACACAAATAAAACTTTGTCTTACAAATACTTTTTGCCTGAATTCAAAATAGATTAAGATATTTTTTCCTGCCAATTTTACCTTAATTTCCTGTGAAAAGTGGGCATGGTGTTTGTTCTTTCTATGGTGCTGCAAGTAAGTGTTGTTTTGGGTTCTGCCTTGATTGTTTTCTTTCAATGAACAAGATAAACTTGTTTCTTTGGAGATATATATTTTCTAAATATATCTAGTTTCTATTCTTAAGGAATACCTTATATATGACTTTAATAAGTGCAAAGATAATCTCAGGAAACATACACATAGATAAACACGTATTTACAAATTTATATACAAAGACATACACACACATATCCCTCACAAAAAAGTTATTATAATTGCTTTTAGGAATACTTAAAGCCTAAACTTAAGGAATACCTTAATATATATCTGGGTCATATTTTTCTGAGAAGTTTTAGATCCTTACCTCACAACATATATCAAAAAATAATTCCAGATTTTTAAAGGTTAAAGATTTAAAGACAAGTCCATTTATATGTCATAAAGAATTCACAGGGTTTTAAAAATATATGTATAGAATATATAGGTGGTTGCTTTACATGTAGAATATCTAAGTGAATATTTTTATTAATCCCGAATCAAGAAGCATTTTCTAAACTTAAATATAGAAAAAATGAAAACAAATCTGATGATTTGATTGCCTAAAAGTCAACATCACTAGGCATCAAATATAAGCAATAAGGTAAAAAATTAGCTGGAGAATATATTTGACAAAAAACACAAATGTTAATATACTTGGTAAATTAAAATGTTCATATGGATCCTCCAAAATATAACATCACCTGGTAGAATATCAGGTAAAAATATCAACAGATAATTCACATTATATGAAATATATAGCCTGTTAATAATAGTAATGAACATATTTTAAAAATTCTACAGCATTAATAATTAAGGAACAAGAGGATACACGTTTTCTTCTACCAAAAGATTTTAAAATATGGAAATAGCCAATATTAGCAAGACTTCAGTAAGATGACCACTACTGTAGGGGATATATATTGGTACGATCTCTCTGTAGAGCAATCTGACACTATATCTCTATAGCCTTAATCTGGTCATACCCATCAACCCAAACAAATCCCATTAATATAAGTCCAGCTGAAGGAAACAATCAGAAATAGAGAAAAGATTTATGTGCAAAGATTGTCACTGTGCTGCTATTATAATTTTAATAAATGAGAAACCCCATAAATAATGGGATAATTTGTTTTCTTTATTCATTTATCCAATGCATCTTACTTTCCTCAGTATAAGTCTTCATGAGAATGCTAAGTCTTAAAACAGTAATATAATGTGAAAAATGATAAAATTTCATATGGTTCTAAAAACCATGAAGTTTCTAACCTCAGAGTAAGTGTCCCAGTGTAGTACTGATAATCAAGAGGTCAATAGAAGTTGGCTAGCTAATTGTACTTAGACAGGGGTGGACTTGGAAATCCAAATGACAGAGGTGTTGGCTTCAATGATAACAAATTATACTGAAGCATATGGCATCATAAGTGTCCATCTCTAAAATAAAATCAAACTAGTTATGTGTCACATAACGACATTTTGGTCAATGACGGACCACATATACAATGGTGGCCCCATAAGATTAGTACCATATAGCTTAGGTGTGTAGTAGGCTATACCATCTAGGTTTGTGTAAGTACTCTATGATATTTGGACAACAACAAAATTGCCTAACAATGCATTTCTCAGAATGCACCCCCATCATTAAGCCCTTCATGACTGTATATGAATGAATAACTCTAATACAATGACTGACACCAAAGGGATGAATTGAAATAAGAATATCATAAAGGTAGGTTTTGGATTTATCTTCCATCATCAATAAGTGAATGGCTGGATTGAGGTTGTTCAACTTTCTGATGAGTACAGAAATTCAGATTTCATCTTGGTGAATGGATTCTCTATTTCCAGATATATCATATGCACTCAACACATACACTGAGCCAAACAAATAGGACTAAATTATTTTTCCCCAGTCTTCTTAAAAAACATTTCAGTATAATACACTGAATAGTTCAAACTACTGACTTATTTATTAAGATGACTCCTTTAGATGAAGTGAAAACTCCTGATTAATGTCTACTAAACAAATATTTTTGTTTAGATAGTATGAAATGGTATTGCTTTCAACACCGGCTTAGGAAAAGATACATTTTCAAACGGTAACTTTTATCATGTTGATTGATGATAAGGAAAAAGAAGTAAGATATTTGATTTCTGTATCACGTATTAAGTAATCTTAAATTGGTCTAAGTCATTTGGTTCATATGAAAATAGAGACAATTTCCACTTATATATATGTATATATTTTAATATTTAAAGAACTAAACTTAATAGCTAAAAAAGTATATCTTACTTTTATCTTCAATATAGTCATCCCAGTTAAACATGCTCACTGTCCTATTGAAAATGGTACCGTTCCCATCCAGTGAGTTATTAAAGAAGGAAGTGATGTTGATTTCAAAGGAAGAATTATCTGGGGGCCATTGCAAACATTTATTCCGCAGGTTGCCCATAAACAGCTGTAGTCCTATTAGTGCAAACACGCTCAGACAGAACACAGTCAGGATCATTACATCTGAAAGCTTCTTCACCGACTGGATCAGGGCCCCCACGATGGTCTTCAAGCCTACAAACAAAATCAGAGGGAGGAATTTAAATATACTATTCAACAGCCACTTTACCGACAAAAACATCATGAGCTTGTCCTGGAAAATAAAGATGTCATGCAGAATGCCAACACTATTAGTTTAATGTTTGTGATTGTATAACATTTTTATGAGAAGCCTGCTAGCTGGTGAAAATGAATGAAAGCAGAACTTGTACGTTCATTAGAAAACCGTGAATGGAAATGAACCAAAATTGTATTTCCAAACACTCCTTGTAGCAAAAGAAATGATTTTGTTACTCATGCTTAAACATCAACCTCGTGTAAATATTTTGCTTTTATTTGCAGATGTCTTACTCCCTAACCTCTTATTGATTTTAGAAAAATCTATATGAATAGAGTAGTAAGAAATCTTGAAGTCATTGAATTATGAAGTTATATATTTGTGAATTCTGCAAGCTTGAGTGTGGGTTAAAAAAGGAAGACATCTGAAAACTGAGCCCCATGCAGCCCTCATGCTATCCCTTGCTCTTTCATTTATCTGCGTTAAGAAAATTACCAGTTTTCGACCTAATGGTCAAATTTGCATCAGTTTGAATGTCTCATAGTTTAGCTTCTATGCAAAAAGCTTGATGTTATAGGATGCAAACCATGTAGCCTGTTACTGCAAATGCCTCATGCAAAAACTTGTTAAACTCAAAGGCTGATTTAGAACAGTTTTAAAGAAAGCAATTAGTAAAAGCCAAGAATCAAATCCATCCAAAATATGACGTACTGATTCTTGCTTTTTTACATATTTATTTGCAACAGGTGACAAGCAACAAGGCTTAGGCACAAAAGCTGTGATTGTAGCACCAACGGAGCTAAAGTCAGCCTCGGTGTTTAACCTCGCTCTCACCTGGAATGACTGAGATTGTTTTCAATGCTCGGAGAACTCTGAATGTTCTCAATGCTGAGACATTGCCCAGGTCCACAAACTCTGTCACATATCTGTAATAGGGAGTTCACACACAAACACAATAACACACAAGAAACAGTTGGAGATATAAGGGACCTACCACCTTATACCAGTTTCTTCTTACCTGGAATTACAGAAATAGTTTTCAAAGCTCTCAATACTCTGAAAGTTCGAAGAGCTGAAACATTGCCTAGGTTTACAAATTCTGTTACATACCTGTAGAATTAAATCAGAGTTATTCAGAATTTAGGGAAATCTAAGTCTAAGTTGGTCTTTCATCAAGACCTTTTCAACTTCAATGAGTGCTGCCACCAGATTTCCCAGTTAAGAGAAAAATGGCATTGTGATCAATCATAATTTCTTTTACTTAGGAAAGTTTATTACTTTACAGCGCGAATTGAAACCAAAGTCAAAGAATTTATTATGAGAGTTCCTAATGTCTCCAAAGTTCATAATCTGATTGAAAGAAAAATATTCTAAATTCACATAACTAAGAAAAGTGCTTGATCTGTGAAGGGAAGCCACCAAGGAGAAATATCGCGTAGGTTCCCACCAAGGATTTACTCTTCCAGGATGGAAAATACATTAAGATACTTACGCAAAAGTAATAACTGTGAAATCCAACCAATTCCATGGATCCCGTAGAAACGTGAAATCTTCTAAACAAAAGCCCCTTGCAAGTATTTTTATAAGTGATTCAAAAGTATAAATTCCTGTAAAGGTGTACCTGAGAGAAAATAGCCAAGCCCACATTAAAGATCTGGTAGGTAACTTACATGTACATATCTTAAAGGAGACTTAACAAAGAAAAATTAGAGGCTTCGATCTATATGGGTCTCCCCAGGCTGCAGAGCTTAGGAAGGGCTTAAGGCAAAAAGAAATGTTATATTCTGAAAGACATTCTCATTGACTAACCAAATGAGTATGTACTTGCTACATTAATTAATTTGAAGACTCGGATAAGATAGTTCTATATGAAGATATTGTCTAAAATACACCAGCTTTTGGTCTGATTTAAGCAAACAGGTATTAATCCAAAAATGAATGAAGCATTTGTGTTTAATAAAATATGCAACATTAAGAGTCATGAAATAGATACTAAAAAAACATAGCAAGGTGATAGGCATGAGAAAAAGAACAAACAAACTAGGTGTAATTTTTATCATTGAATATTAGTAATCACTGGTGGTCTCCGAAAGATTGTGAGACTCACAAGGAAGGTAGACAGCTACAAATATTAGCAGTCAAACCAGTGCAGTAATTTGAGCAACTGAATGAGCCATGCAAGCTTTGTCCTAAAGGAAATTCCTGATTGAAATGAACTTGAAAGATTGTCTAACTTGTCTGGTTTGGAGTAGCTAGTATGATTTGCCAAGAAACTGGTGAGACCTCAAGATGTTAAATGCACAATTTGAAATCTAAAGGACCGACAATATTGAAAGATACCCTTTATTTTCTACTTACTCCACATTCTTTGTCCAGTCTGGAGGGTTACTCATGGTCATAAATACACAGTTGGTAAGGATAGTGCACATAATGAGCACATTGAATAACGTAGAATACTGTCAAGGAAGACAAAGTTCAACAGAAAATCTCACTTTCATACACCACCATCCCTTTCACCATCATGAAATTTAGGACTTTTATGCCCTTATTAATTTATTCTTGCTTGTATTTTCCATTTCTGCAAATTTTTTTTGGTGAGGAAGATTGGCCTTAAGTTAACATTCATTGTCAATCCTCTCCTTCTACTTTAGGAAGATTGTCACTGAGCTAACATCTGTGCCAGTCTTCCTCTATTTCATATGTGGGATGCTGCCATAACATGCCTTGATGAGCCGTGTGCAGGTCAGAGCCTGGGATCCAAACCTGCAAACTCCAGGGTGCCGAAGTGGAACCCACGAATTTAAACACTATGCCACCAGGCTGGCCCCTACATTTCTGTAACTTTAACAACCCCATATCTGGGCCATGTCAGGCCAAGCCATCAACTATTTTGAGGCTAGTTAGGAGCTTTTAGTAATTAAAAAGATTAAATGCAAAGAAATTAGTTCATAGGTAAATAATTTGCCAATTTAAGTTTTTTAATGACAGACAACAACTGAACTGCAAGCTTAGCATATATGTAAACTCTGACAAAAATTCAGCAAGAGAATTCAAGTAATTAATTAAATGCATTATAACTCCATGCTAAGGGTCACCCTGGTGGAATGTTTCTAACATCCATTCTAAGTGGAGTGTATAATATACTGTAATTGCTCATAAAATTTTGAATAGTAAGAGAAGATGGCTTGTGTTAGTGCTGGCATTTCTTGGGTTTGTAACTGTGGCTATATTACTTCTTAATTTCCCTGAGCCGTGGTTCATTTCACTATAAAAGCGAGAAAAAATAACCATTTCACAGGATTGCTGTGAGGATCAAACTAGTTAAAATATGTTAAGCCTGTTACAACTTAAAGTGCCTGGTCCATAGCAGATGCTCAACAAATGGCTTTCCTAATTTCCCGAATCACAGAGAACACTTATAACGAACATCTGGTTTGTTTCACTCTACCCCACCTTGCCTTTGTAGACAGAGCCAATGCCCTTCACTTTCCTTTCTATTGAAAAACAACAAAAGCTCTTTAAGAAATATTCAGTAGTCAGATAATTGAAATGACTTTCATATTTAATAAAAAGCACAAGAAGGATTCAGGATTCAATTATGCAAAACAACAGCCTTTATCAATGTAAGTTTAGACACAATTATAAAAATCCCAGAGAGTGAATATGTGTTATTCATAACCCTTCTCACTCTTTATTTTTATTATAAATCTTCACATTACTTCCACATAACGAAACATCAACATAATTTTAAGTTCAGTAAAAGAGGATAGTGAGTAGCCAATGTTGTGTTAATCTATAAAGGAAGTTCCTTTTCACTTACAACTGGTTTTCTCAAAGCAACATTGACTTTTTGTTTTTACTAGCAGCGATATAGGGGGCATGCTCAATTCTTAGCTTGTTCAAATGCATGGACATGAAAACAGTCGTAAGTGAATGATGTGGATCAGCCACGTGAGGGCACTACAACCTAGAGAACACAGAAAAATATCATTTCAAAGATGAAATGTGTTTTTCCTTTATTGCTAAAAATGAACAAAAAATAAGATAAAATTAAAGATGATTTGCTATTAGTATATAAAACTAGAGGATCCTCTGTGTCTGCTAGCCTGCTAGGCCCTCCTGGAGAAAATAACTCCTCCTAGCAGATTGGCACCATTCTAAATGCATGGTTCCCCACCTCAATGGTCCTTAAGACAGGCCTGTATATCTCCACTTTGCTCCATCTCCTACTTTCTGAAAAGACAATTTCAAATATTCTCCACTCTCCTTTGCCCTCCAACCTTCTTCCTTCCTTCCCCACCTCAAGGTGATGACCTTATTCCTTACTTCACTGAGAGAAGAGATAGCATCAGACCTGCCACATCTCTACTTCTCACCCTTAAACTGACAAACATCTCTGTATTGAGAGCTATTTTTCCCCCTTCCATTTTCAGTGGGGGAAATTTTCAATCCCTCCACTCATACTCTGGACACCTTCTACACTTCTAGAATACTTCAGAAATCTCTTACCTCTCCTTTCTCTTATCTTTATTATCTCCTACTCTATTGGCCTCTTCCTATCAACATAAACTTGCTTAAGTCTCTCCTATCTCAGGGGGAAAAATAATACCTTCCTGTAACCCACAATCCCCTTTAACTACTTACCACCCTAACTCTTTGCTCTATTTCACAGGCAATTTCTTCAAAGAGCTGTTTATCCTTTCTTTTGCTCATGTATCTATCACATCCTCAGCCTACTAGCTTTTCTTTCTAAAAATGACAAACTCTCCATATTTTGTTACTGAAAACAAAAGTATAACGTTGAGTTCTTATCTGACATGCTCTCTCAACAGCATTCCACAAGGATGGTTCTTCCCTGTTTCATTATATTCTCTTCCCTTTGCTTTTATGAATTCTTAATTCCCTGCTTTCTTCATTCCTCATGGGCAAAAATCTCTTTGCATGCTTTGAAATGCTGTAATTCCTTGTATGAAAAGGACATAGGATATCTAAGCCACAACCTTCTCCATCTATACTCATCCTAGTAGAGCTCATCAACAAACATGGCTTCAAGTACCATTTATGTACCCATGAATCTCAAATATTTCTCTCTAGAAGCTAAACCTCTCTTCTGAACTCCACACACCCATTGTCCATATGACATCTAAACTTACATATCTCATTGACACTTAAAAATCATTTAAAAGATTTTGGGTCCTAAGACTGAACTAAAAATCTTTTTATCCCACCTCTCTACTCCCCTCCCCCCAAATACTGCTCCTTTGACATCTCTGTATTTTAGAAGATACCCCATGATATAGCCAGGAACCTAGGGGCAAACTTGGATTTCTCTCTCTCCCTAAACCTCCACATTCAACTTAGCACCAAATTTTGTCAATTCTACCTCCTATCTCTCGACTCAGTGTACTTTTTTCCATGCCCACATCACTACGTGGTTCAAGTGTCCATTAAGTCTAACCTAGATTATTGCAGTTTCCTCCAAATTGGTATTTCTGAATCCATGTTTGCTTCCTTTCAATCAATTCTGCACACTGTGCCAAAATGACCTTTGTAAATGTAATTCAGATCATTTCAATAGCTTTCCACTACTCTTAGGATGATGATCAAATGTCTTAACATGGTCAAGATTCTAGGGAGTCCAACCCTTGTCTACTTGACTAGTTTCATATTCTTTACTCTACATTGTGCTCTCCCCAGTCCAATATCACTGCAATTGTTTTACATCATCAAATGAAATGTTTTTTTTCAAATCAAGGTCTTTGCAAATGCTGCCTCTTTTCCCTAGAAATGCTCTCTACTTCACCATAGGTAACACATACTTTTTCTTCAGTACTCAGATTAAAAGTTATTTCTAGTAGAAAGCTGTTCGCAATAGCATCTTACCTGTTTCGATCTGCCAGTTATATTTCCCTGTAGCACTTTATACCATTCCTCCAATGACTAAATTTAATGTTGATCTTTTCTGCTAGACTGTCAGCTTCATGAGGGCAGGGACCATGTCTGTACTGATAACCACTATACCCTTCCCATTTCACAGTGTCTGTTGACTACTGAATGAAGTCAATTTTGCAATTCATTTATTCCTAAATGGAATATTTCTTTTTAGTGATTTTTGATTATGTATTTATTAATATGAAACAAAAATACAGCATGGAATTTACCTTCACATATATAGAGTACACAAGTTTCTACAGTTTTTTTTTTTTTTACAGGGAGGATAGAGGATAAATATAGGATGAAAATTAATAGCCTCAAGAGATTTACTTTACATAATGGACTGAGCCATGGTTTTATGACCCTTAAAAAATATTTACTCTTTATAGTGGTAGAATTTAATTATATATAATGAAGTAAAATATATATTTCAATATTAATAAACACTGGAAAGAATGATTATTGTCCAGTAAGTCATAATTGATAAAGCATTATGCTCAAATAGGTGTTTTCCACATTGCACCACTATCATTTTAATAATAAAAAATACTCTTAAGTTAAAGATCCTGACAGACACTCAAAAAAGGAAAGCAAATAAAACTATTTTGCTTTTAAAACAAAATAAAACATAACTAGAGTCAGGTTTTTATGCTTGTGGTTTAACAGGTGCCTCTAAATAGAGAGTTTCAAAATCTGTTAACTTTTAAAAATTACTGTGGATTTAGTTTATCAATTACATACTTTAAAAATTCCTAGAGTTTGGTGAGTGACTAAAATAGTATGATTTCAGATAATTATAACAAATATCCAAATACTAAAAAAACCAATGTAGGTATTGATTTTGTATTGGTGACATCATGCACTGAAAAGGATAGAAACTCCACATCTAGGCAGATTTCAAGGGTTAGAACTGGGAACAAAATGGTTACATCCTGTATTATTTTCTAAATATATAGGCCAAGACACCAACTAGAGTACATTTTTCAAAAGAAGGATATATCCCAGAACAATATCTCTTTAAGAGCTTTAGTATAATAAATAAAATAAAAGAGGCAGACTAACCTTATATAATATCAGGAAAAAAGGATCTTTTTAATCTTTTAAATTTTTTATTTCAGGTATTAATAAAACTGTGCTAACCTTTTGATTGATATTGTCTAACAGGCATCTCAAAAATAACATGTTTAAACCCAAGCTCGAGTTTACCCACCATACTGCTCCACCTGAAGTCATCCCAAGCTCCGTCAACAGCAAGCACATTTTTCTTTCTTGGCCAAACTAAACACTTGAAGTCATCCTTAGGTCTACTGATTCTCTCATACTCCACATCCAATTGCTTAGCAAATCCTGTCAGATCTTCTGCAAAACACATCTAAGTTTGGTCACATTTTGCCACCCTCATTTCTTCCACCGCAGTGCAAGCCACCATCATCCCTTGCCTTCATAATGGCAGTAGGCTCCAAATCTGCCTTCTTGTTTCCACCCTTCCCCCCACCCCCCTCCCACCCCCCCGTGCAGTCTATTCCCCACATAGCAGCCAGAGTGACCTTTTAAAAATGTGAGTCAGGTCATGACATTCTTCTGCTGAAAACCTTTCAGTGATTTCTCCCCATCTCATTCAGAGTAAATCTGGTGTCCTCACCATGGCCTACCACCTCAGCCCCTCACCTCCACTCTCACTGACTACCACTCTCTGCCTCTCCCACTCTGCTCCAATCACTCTGGTCTCCTTGCTGATCCTTGCAATTCTACCTTCATTCTTTTCCTTCATATTTGCTATTCCCCTTACACTTACTTTTCCCCTAGGTTTTCATGTCTCACTCCCTCACTTCCTTTGGATCTCTGCTCAAATGGTAACTTTTCAGAGAGGACTTCCCTGACCATACCATCCAAAACAGTTCCTTGTGACTCTTCTCTTTTTACACTGCTTTATTTTTCTTAATAGCACTTAGCACTAGCTGACATATGATTTATTTTTATTATCTTTCTCCTCCCAAACACACATACACACACATGAATGTAACCATAAGAGAGCAGGAACTTTGTTTTGTTCAATGTTGCATCCCAATGCCTAAAAGAATATCTCCACATAGTAGGTGCTCAATAAATATTTGCAAATGAATAAATGAATGAGTAATGAATGCAAAATAAAAGAGAGTGTTCATATTAAATTAAAACAATAAAAACTGACATGAAACATAATTAAAACTCTGAGAGAGAATCTTAGGAATATGCATTACTTTTAACTTGTTTACTATCTGGAAAATAGAACCATATTTTATTTAACTATCAAAACAAGATACTAGGCACATCAAAAGCATTTTCAGTTTTCAAAATATATTCTGGCAGAAACACAGTAAGCATAAGTATACCTTATTCTGCCAAAATCAAGACACAAAGCTAATTGGATGCGCAACAGCTCCTAATGAAGATGACAGCTCTTTACAAAACAAGTCAGAATTTCCATTGGAAATAGAGGTAACAGTTTAGTGTTAAAACACAAATTTCCTTATTGTGAATGGCCATTTTCTGGCTTATAAATTAATGACAATAAATGCACAATAACCTCTTGACTGTACCCAAATCCACTGTGACTACCTCCAAGCATTTTTAATTTACAGCAAAAAGCAGGGTGCTTGAAGTCAGAAAAGCAGGATTTGAGCTTAAGGTTTGTGTTGTGAGGAATCAAAGGCAAAAATCTTTGGAAAAAGCAGTTGCAAACTGTATAGCATTATATACATCAAAGTATACTAGAATCTCAAAATCAAGTGTGCCACTATCACCAAAAAATTGAATTTATCTTAGACTGTTAGCTCACCTGCCTTTCTTTCCTTATATCTCTACTTCCAGGTGAGACATTTGAAACATAATATTTTAATTCAAACAATTAGAGATTTTTAAAAATCTACTTTTTTTATTTTGGAAGAAAGTTGTGGCTATAAGCCATTTGTGAGCTTCTAGGAAAGTCAAGAATTTATTTTTCCAAATCTTAATGGATTTACCCAGCTGCCTTCACATTTCAACTTGCCTCATGGCAGGCCTCCTAAGAACTCTGTCGCTTGGAGGTTTTCTTTCTTTCTTCTGGGAAGTAAGTTCAAACCTTCAAATTCAAGTTGTATTTTGGTTCCTAGAGAGCACCCACCATAAACTATATTCTAAATGCCAAGATTCTCTGATCAAAACTTTTCAAACTGCCCTTGTCTTCTCCCACTGGGAGTCACTTTTTACAGAGGGTCGTCAAACGGGACTCACAGGTTCCCTCTCAGGATTTCTTGGAGTGGAGACGATAGCCTTCATGAGACTGTCAAAGAAATGCACTCTCTCCCTAGAGAAGTTTTACAACACTAAACTGTCTCTTTAATCGGGGTTTCTTAACTCCGTCTCATCATTCAGATTCAGGACAAAAGAGATTTTTCTGACCTATTCAAACCTTCCATTTTGTCATTTGTTTTGCATCTGATTCTCTAAACTTTGATTCATTAGTCACTTATTTATTCAACACATCCCCTCCCAGTGTCCACTATGAACACAGCATTGGATTATGTCCAAATTTTCCACATTATTTTATACATAAAGTATGTTTATATAAGTGATATACAATTATTTTTAAATAAAAGAAATAATTTATGTAAGATTTATTCAGTGCACAGATTATAAATACTCAGAACATAATAATAAACCAAAATTTATGATTCAGGAGACCCCAATCTAAATCTCAACTCTATTATTCATTCCTAATGTTAACTCAAAGACGTATTTCCTCCTTGTACAACTGAGTTCCCTTATTTGAAAAACAAAGTAAGGAAACATTATTGTTTAATTCACAAGAAATTATTAAATCTTAAAACATAAAACATAAATATAAAATTAATATATGTTGATGTCTATACAAAACTTGAGGTAGGGGGTGGCGTAGATTGAACTAGGTTAAAAGGACACTGAATTCCAGAATGCTATGTTTCTAAAGGCATCTAAAGTAATCCAATCTAATTTAATCTAATCATCTAATACCTAATCTAAAGACATCTTCTCTAATTCAAATATTTTCTGGGCCTGCCAGGTGCAGTGAGCTTTTATACTAGAAGCCTTAAGGCAGGGCCTGGGCTGACCATGTCTTAGAATCTAATTAAGAAACAACATTAAATGTTGTTCTGAGACTTTGCTTAAATTTTAATTTTCCCTCCAGGAACCTCACCTCTTGTCCTTTTTGCATATCAGTCTTCATCCCAAGGCTTCAGTGTTCTTCCTGTAAATGCCCCTGCCTGGCACAGCCCGAGTCTTCCTAACCTTTGCTCCCTCATTTTTTTCCAGGGCTGGCTGTCAACCAGACCACTGTCCCTGGCCTGGAATAAAACCTCTCATTCATAACTATGCTATTTAACTTCCAGGAGTAAATTAAATGACCATCTCCCACCAAGGTGTCATCAATCTCATTTCTAGGAAGTAGATACTTCAGTAAGGAGAATAAAAAACAAAATGAGAGTGTATATGGGTAGCCAGACAGTAAGCCTTTGAAGAGAGATAACTGTGGTAGGACCTGTGACTTGAACAAAACTAACAAGCAACAAAAAAAGGAAGGAAGGAAGGAAGGAAGAGTGGAAGGAAAGAAAGAAAGAGAAAGAAAAAGACAATAGAAAATCAATGGGAATGCTGTTGGGAAGAGAAATATTTGAAAGGCTAATTTTAAACAGTCACAATTGTAAACATTTACTAACTCCAAGCTTTCAAATGCTGAAACAAAAAGCAGAAAGTAGTAAAATTCAGACCGAAGTACATAAAATTGTGCAATTCAGAGTATGTGTATATTTTCCAAATGTAAAAGCAATAAAGAAAATTGGCTCATGGAGTTTACCCTTAGATAACACCATAAAATTTGAAGACTTGTAAAAGGATAGGCTGGTAACACAGTCAAAGTTAATGAAGAAGTCTTGGATACAGCAAGCAATTCAGAAGGGAGCAGCAGAGGAAAGAAGAAAGACAGAAGCAGTGAGTCAGGGAGAGGAGAAATACTTAGAAGATGGGGAAAAGTGGTTTACTTACTTATGATCCCATTTTGCAGTATGCTATCTGTCGAGTAAGAGGAAAGAGAAACAAGAGCACATAACATTGCCAACCACATATATTTTTGAAAAATTCCTGGCTCAGTAATTCAGTCAAAGAGCAAAATCATATCAAGTGACTATTTGAAAAAAGGATATGAATGTACCAAAATCTTAATAGCTAATTTTCGAATAGGGTTGAAGGGAGTTAAAATGTACAGGGCAGAGGTGGCACTGAATCGAGAGATTGCTTTCCCTTTATTCAATACTATAAACGTCTGAAAAAGAAAACAACACATAGAACAGAATTTAGAATCTTAGTATTAGAATAAAGAACATTTTAAGAGAAAGGTGAGACCATTATTTAGAGATATAGCTTTATAAAATAATATAGCAATGTACTAATTACTGCCATATTACATGGTGATAGGTGCTTTTGCCTTTTGAGCACTACAAACTCTCCTAAATTTGGTAAGTGACATGAGGATTTAAAGAAGAAAATAAAGGAAATTTGTAGTCACTGCCATAGGAATTCTTAGCATCTCTATTGAGTTTTGATATCATAATTTTTAAACTGTATTTATAATTCATGAAAAGCACAAAAGTGAGGCTTTGATTACTTCTTCAGTGACATAAAATTTATTTTCATGAGGACGTCAGGGTTTTCCAGGTGTGTTTTGGGATCAGACTATTTTCTGGGCACTTACAAGTCCCCTGCTAGTATTCAATCTGCAGAGGGCCCTGGGAAGGGCAGAGTCTGTGGTCTGAAGTCATAAACCTGCTGAAGATCAAAGTACTTCATACAGAGCTCAAGATTGTAAAGGGGAATTTAGATACTACTTCTTGAAATATAATATACAAATGTACATATATAAATTATATACTCCTTGTTTTCACTTTTTGCTTCACTACACTGTAAGGTGAATAGACTTTTGCCCTCCCTCCATTTCCCCACCACAGGATGCCTCTTCAGTTCACTGCCCGTCCCGGAATGTAGGTTCAAATGGGTGCTTCCAAAAGACTTCTAGGGTAATGGGTCCAGACGTGGCTAGGCCCACCAAGCATCCTGGTGATATTTTAGACAGAGGGGAGGAGGCACAATCTTCTTCACCAGACATCCCTGGGACTAGTCTAGAACCAGTTAGTAAGTAGAGGAAGTAAAGGCAACTTGACTAAGAACTCACTTTTTTATTGATATAGTACGGGTCCAGGTCCTCCAGGGGCTCTGACACCATCTCTGGAGGAATGTCTCCATAAATAAACGGAAGGGATTTTCCTGCTTCCAAGTCACTATTTGGCTTCGGGCCATTTTCATCATCCTCATCCTTGCGCTCTTGTTTGGGTCTCTTAGCTTTCTCTTCTGCAATGCGTTGTTCAATAGCAGCAAGGGATTCCCTGGTAAAGAAGCGGAAGCTGTCAGGTCCTGGTGGTACCAGCACTGACTGTGCCATCTTTTCATCCTGCTCCTTTAATCACTGTTTAGCTCCTTGCATAAGAAAGTGCTATGGAAACAAGAGACAGAGAGAGAGAAAAAAAGCAGTGGCTATTAGGACAAAAAAGTGACTGTGGCAATTACATGATATTGAGATAAAATATATAAACCAAGCTATCTATAATATTTTACTAAGGAAGCTGTATTTGGCATCCGGGGGATTCTCATGCATGCATTCATTTGCTTGCATGAAGATCTATATTCTATATTCAGTAGGTGTCTATGAGGTAATCTCATCTCCCACTCCCAAAATGTATGAAGTGAAAATATCTAGTTCAGAGCTCAGAAATGGAGGATACTGGTTTGTGCTTGCTGTTTCACTTGTGTGAATATTTTGGCAGCCATCTTTTCCAGCATCCTAGCTGAAAAAATTTCAGAGATCCAAAACAAGAGATGAAAAATCACCCAAAATTGTGGAAGCTGGGCTATGCGAAGATCTTGCACGTATCTCTCCATTTTTTTCCATGTTCCCTTTGGCCCACTTTTCCACCTTTAAAAGCTTATTCAAAATCAACGCACCTGGTAAAGAGCTCTGGAAATCCTGAAATGCCAGGCTATGGAAACACAGGTAGGCACTGCTTGAAAGCAGGGGAGAGGGAAGGAGCAGGGGATGCCCGATTGCGTTTGGAACTGCTCGGAAGCTACACAGGAAGGGATCCAGCTCCTGCCAAACTGGGCAGGAAGTCACCCACGTCAGAGGTCTGGAGCTTGGACCCCCTGGCTTTGCAACCTGCTGCTAGCTAGTGTAATTGCTTCTTAAATTAACAAATTTGCAGTACCTTAGGAAATGCTGTAGAGATAGCCCATTTTCTCAAATAGTGCCCATTTCACATAGCAGATTTGGACTTGAAAAAAATAATAAGTTTAACATAGTTTGTCCTTTAAGCAAACTCTATTAGGTTGGTCTGTATGTTAGCATAAATGGAGTTTTACTGGTATTCTAATCATATTTTACTAGACTAACATACATAACTCAACAGAACACACCAATCCTTCCCAATGTTATCTCTGAGCCAGTGGCAGGAGTTTTATGTTTTTTGAAACAATACAACTAAAATCTGAACTCCTGAATGCTATCTGTATGAAATCACTTATGTATTTTTCCTTCTTTTAAAAATATCAATCCATTTAATCCCCCACCCTACAGGAATGAGAGTTGCCATTTAAATATATGAGGTGCATTTTCTGAGTATAAAATGCATTAACATCCAGTTCATTTGTGCAGCACATGCCAGATAAAACAGAGGGAAATCTAAAATAACATAAGCTATTGTACCATTCCCATAATTTTTCTTTTGAAGTAGACTAGGACCTTTCAGCCACCAGCTAGCAGAATGCCCTCTCAGTATCACAGTGCCTCCAAACATCAATCATTTTCCTCACCCATCCTCAGAAACCCTTATGCCTAGCGACAGGCATAGGCATGGAGATGGTCCTTGCACATTCCGGGGAGGAAACTGCCATGCCTGGGTGCTCTAATAGAAGAGACATGTTAAAACATGCAGCCAGCAGCTTCAAAATGAAAGTGGTCCTCTGCAGATTCCCCCAAAGACTCTACTGTAAAGGTAGAGAAGCATTACAGAGAATAAGCATAATAAGAATATGAACACATTACCCCTGTAGAATCTTTTACACCAAGAGTTTGGGATTGATAAGCTGGCACCAAGAAGACTGCAGCTAAAATTCCATCATGCTTTTTTTTTCTTTTTTTAATTTTTTTTTTTTTTTAATTCTCCTTCAAAGACCACACCTAACTTCCTGTAAAAGGATTCTGGTAACTGAAGTAAGAACAGGCATTTCCTGTGCGGGGACTACAAAATGGCATGATTGTAACTACCGCTAGAGGGCGGGGGAACTGCGAAGAGAAACCGCTCCCAGCGTACACACAGACGTACGTTTGAAACAGCCCAAAGCTTTCAGTAATGGAGCTCTCATCTTCTACAGGCTTCTCTTAGGACAAAACGTTAAGACTTTGCTGATTTCAATTATTAATTTTGTTAACCTATAATGCTTCTGTTCATGGTTTTTATTTGCTAAGCCGGAAGTCATTCAATCAATACAAATAATTTGAATTAAAAGAAAAAAAGTAAATAATGAAGAGTTAAAAACAAAAACTCATAATGCTCTAATCATATTAATGAAAGTCTTACATACAGTGGGATTTAGCATCAGCCTCAGCCCCAGAGTATCTGGAGTCTGATAAAATGCTTTGCTAATTCAACAGAGATGGCCTTTGTGCCATATAAGCTAACTTTCTCTAGAAATAAAATTAACTTGATGAGACATCAATCTTATTCTAGCTATGATTTAAATTACTGAAAAGCAGCCAGAAGAAAACTGAAAAGCCAGTGGGATCCCAAAGGCCAGTCTTTCAAACTAATAACACAGTTAAGATTTGAGGGCTTAATATACACCAGTCACTGACTGGGCTAAGATGTCTACATGCACTATATCATTTCATCCTCCCCACAACCCCAGCAGATAAGCACTTTCACGATCCTTACCTGAAAACTAAAGAAAGGAAGTACACCGAGGTTAGGAAAAGTCACCCAAGGTCGCAGGGGCAAGATTCAAAATCAGTGTCTGACACCAAAAATCTGTGAACTTTACTCAGTCATAAAAAAGAAACACCTGCTCATGCAACTAAAGCCTAAAATAAGGATTAAATAAAAATCAGGCAGTCGCACCAATTATAATCAGAAAGTCATAATTATTAAATCAATTTATTTTGCATATGTTTTAGCTTCATCATTTTCATTAGAAAATGTACTCGTGGGAAATAAGCAAAGAGGAGATATAGCCCAAAAAGAGTTTAGACACTCTAGTAAGTCTCTTTTGATTATTAGAGAAAAAAGAATGATTCAAATTGGCTTAAGAGAGAGAAAGAAAGAAAGGGAGGGAGGGAGGGAGGAAGGAAGGAAGGAAGGAAAAGGAAGAAAGGAGAAAAAGGGAGTCCATTGGTTCAAGCTTTATCGTCTCAGGCTAGCTTTAGGCATGCGATGATTCGGGAGCTCAATTGATGTTACCAGCACCTGGTTATGCTGTATTCTTTGGCTCTGATTTCCATGGTGATAGCTTTTCTAGAGATTCATCCTTGATTGTAGTAAAATGCTATAGCAGCTCCAGCCTCCCAACCTCCCAGACTTAAATCCAATAGGAACAAAGACCCAAAAAAACTCTCATTGAAACTCACTGGCTCCAGTTGGGTCACAAGTCCCTCCCTGAAGTAATCACTCTGTCCAGGGTAATACTGTGTTTTGTGCTTTGATTGGCCTCCCTAAACCAAATGCCTACCCTTGGAATTAGGAGGGAACCTCACTTAAAACCTATAAACGGACAGGGTTGTGGTGGTGATATAGAAACATTGCTCAAAAGCAGAGTTGGAGTACTATAAATGGACTATAGGACTAAGGGGAGATTGATACTGGTCAACAAAAACAAACAAGTATACACTCTAGTCACATATTGGTCATATTTGTAGTGCCTCAATACTTAGAGTAACATTATGAACTTCAGGAGATATATATATATCACCTATTTTCTAGCTTCGCCGTTTCTATTAGGAATATATATATATATATATATATCCTCCATGTATACCATCTTAAAGATTAGAAAGCAGGCAGGATATTTAGAAGATTCCTTCTCCAAAGTAAGTTGTCCTACTGTAATCAAATATTTCACAAATCTCTATGGTGAGCATTAGCTTCATTTATGAAATAAATATAAGAATATTCTGGTGTCACTTTACAGATATGCTTAACAATAGGCTAACTTGTTATACAAAAGGTTCCAATTCAAAAAATAAATTAAGGAGGCAAAAATTTACCAAGTGATTTGCCAAACATAGTTTTGAGGGGAGACTAACTATAGGAATAACGCATAGTGCTTACTTTTCGTCAAACACTATTTTAAGAACTATGAAACCATTTAATTCTTATAAACAACCTGATGAAGTAGATACTGTGATCACCCCCATTTAACATGTGAGGAAACTGAGGCATCCAGAGTTTAAATAACTTGCAACATGCGTAAGTTCTCACAGTTGTCAGTAGTAGAGACAGAATTTGAACTCGTGCTCTTGGGCTACTCAATCCACGTTCCTAACCATTATGCAACGCTTCTCAAGCCTTTTTCCTGAAACATTCACTATCAGGAACACACCAACGCAATGAAATTTCTTTGATATTATCTTAGTTGTAGGGTTGCCCCTTTCTCTCTTTTTGATCCTAGCCGGTGAACATGTCTTAGGATATTTAAAAAAGTGAACATAAAATGTTTTACCAAAATATCTAAGACATAAGATGAGCAACACCCGAATATTATTTCCATCTCAAAAAGACTTTTGTGCAATACAGATTTGAAATACAAATCAGTCTTTTGTTTCTGATTTCCCAGGATGAGGTCTTCAGAAGTCATGCATAGTAATTTTTCTTCCATTTTCTCTGACTCATGTTAACACCATACTGATATTTTATGAGAATGATAAATGACATATATTTTGTGAAGTTTTTAATCTTCATTCAGTTGTATTACTTTTCAGACAAAAGATTTTGTATTACAACTTTTAAGGCCAGACATTATTTTTGGAAGACCCATAAATAATGGGGAAGGCAAACGCTGTTATTTTAAGTAGTCAGAAAGCAAAGAATATTAAGAATTGGATTTCTAAATTCTGATGACAGTTCTGTTTTGTTTCAATGTATTCTTTTATTTTTCTCATTTATAAAAGAGGAACACATTTCTAAATTAAAATATAAAAGAAAAATTAAGCCATGTTATTATATATAGTGACATCTACAAAATAGTAGTTACAGTTATATGAAAGATAGGGCACTAACAAAACAAAGATATATAGTAATAAATAGTATATGTCTCTAATTTCTTGCCACAAAGATCCACATTTATAATTATAAGTGCTCTGAAGTTAAATTTATGCTAAGAAAATTATTGTATTGTTAAATCTCATGGATAAGGAAATAATTATATAATAGTTTATATTATAATTAA